CCCTGAAAGTCAACGAAAAACTAGAACGAGAACTGGCTGCAGAAGAAGCTCAGGCTATGGAACATCTTGAGGCTGATAAAGAGCGTAGACTGCGAGAGCTGAAGGACAGACATGCTGCTGAGTTAGCGGCACGCTCTAAGGACATGTCACCTGAAGAAGTGCAACAGGTACGCCAAGAGTCTCTCTTTTAATCAGCTCAGAATTCCCAGGAGAGAAGTAATCGATATTCCGCAATACATTGTCATCTCATGCAAATGATCGAAACTGTATAAGTTAGACTTAAACACCGTGTAAGCAATAGTCATTCACTCTCCATAATCATTCACAATAATTTTTTTGTTTTAATTGCCTACCAGCTTTTGACGGCACATCAACAAGAACTGGAAGAAATAATGGAAAAGATGGACTTGGAGAAACAAAGGCAGCAGGCGAACTTACATCAGAAGCTACTGGAAAGAAAGAAACGAAAACAAGAAGCACAGCAGCGTAAACAAGAAAGAGAGATGGCTAAGGAATTGTTGGAGCAGAAGAGAGAACTGCAAGAAGTGCGCACACAACACGTGAGTGGCACGTGCTCAGTTGAAAGGGGAAAATTTTAAGTTTTTCTTTTGTGGTGTGTTATATTGCTAGAGATTAATTCAGATGTTTCAGTTTCTGAGTTCAACGGTGTAAAATGAAATCAATTTTTGATTAACATTCATTTGCGGATTTTAACTCACAGATCGTGCCAATTTGTTTTAAACGAATGCATTTTTCACTGTCAGGTAAAAGAGGCAGAGAAGCAAGCTATGATTGACGGGATCAGGGAGAACGGCTCTGAAGCTGCAGAGTTTGTCATCAGAAAGGTAATAAATGTGGAGTTATACAGGTCGTTTAATTACCTTGTTGTTTAGCTGTCTTGAAAATGTTGTTGAGACTAAGCCATAGTTGCTCTTTTAATCTGGATAGAATTCGTGCTGGTAACATCCTCTGTAGGGTCTGATTTAACTGTTGTCATGGTAACTATTGATTACATGATAGCTACTTCAGTGGATTAAGTAAGAAAAAAAACACAAACCTGTTCTGTTTACAGGTTCTGGAAAAACGTCAAAGTCAGGAGCTGAAAGACTTGGAGCGTATGTTTCAGGAAGAACGTAAAGTGGCTGTTGATGAAGCACTGGCCAAGATGGAAGAAAGACATGCGCAAGAAAACGATGAACTTCGGGCTCAACACGAGAAAGAATTAAGAGAACTGGAAAAACAAAAATTAAATCCTGAAGAGCTGCAGCAGAAGAGGGCCCAGTTATTGAACCAACAGCAATTACGACAAAGCGCGCTGGATAAAAAACACGCTGATCAAAGGAAACAAATTCAACATGGTGTGCAGTCAGACTGGGAAGTGCGCTTTGCGCGCGCCAAGTTAGAGCTTAAGGAGAAGCACTATCAGGTGAGTTTGGATGGAAAAAGCTTTAGTTGTCCTAATTTTATGTTTGCTCTAGGAATATTGTGGTCGCATCAAGAGATTCGTTCTGGTATTCCTTATTAACTTTTCAATTTCCCTCTTTGCTTAACTCTTCATCTTATTTATGCTACTCCTCTCCTCATCTAGGAATATGCTGATGCTTTGAATGAGTTGACTCCAGAACAAGCAGAGGAACACAGGCGATCAGTTGAGAAGGCGCTGGCAGCCGCGAGGGAACTGGAAATAGTTAAACAAAAACTAGATGAACAGCGAGCGGAGAATGAACTGAAACTCAAACAAGAAAATGATGGTTAGTAACAATTTAACTAAAAAATTCAATGAAGAGCAATAATTCATTTAAGTCAAATGAATAAATTTTTCCCTAAACCTCTCTTATTTGCATCTGTTTGTCACTTAGCATTTGAAGCCGAGCAACAACTTAAGTTAGAAGAGGAACTTAAGACGTTCGACAAACAGCTGGAACAAGAAGCAGAGGAAGAACAGAAAAAGAACGAAAAGGCAATCTTGGCTCTTAACACTCGTAAAGAAGCCCTGCTGAAGGAAAAGAAGGCGAAAGTCAAACAAGAAATGGACAAAATGAGCAAACAAGGAGCTTCAAAGGAAGACCAAGAAGCCATATTGAAAGAACACAGCAAAGACTTGGCTAAACTGATGAACAAAATGGACGCGGATAGAATGAGAATGCAGAGCTCATTGGAAGAGCGTTTGAAGAAAAGACGTGAGGCAAAACGGCAGGCTAAGGTGACTGAACTTACAACTCGAAACGAAGAGGAGAAGAAAGAATTTGAAGAGAAAGTTCAATCTGAGCGCGATCGAGCACAAGCTGAAGAGGTGATCGCTTTGAAGGAAAGCATTCATGTCGATAACCTTGTAGCTGCTACAATCGAATCTGAAGCTGCTTCACCCCCTATACAGCAAGCGCGACTAATGCCGGATAGTTATCGATTAGCAGCTCCATTGAGTGAAGGTGAACTGGCATCGCTGCTGCTGGCGTCACCGCTATACCAAAAGATCGAGAGCATCAAATCGTTAGTGAGTGGTGGCGCTGGTAAAGGAGGACAGTTTGGCGGTTCGGGTAAGTGGAAATCAATATTTTTACTAATGTCAAGTGGACAGTGTTATTTTAAAGTACCTGGTAGAAAATTTTTAGAGTTAAACAAATTAGCAAGTAGGATTGACTTTCTTAGATGCGGTTTGAGTCCTTTGATTTAAAGTAATGGGATACAAAAGTTATATCTGCAGTAAGATGATGTACAGAAGGGTTACTCAGTAAATGACGTTGTGTAACGTATTGGTGTTGACTTGCTTCTCAGCACCTGGTGAAGGTTATATTGACATCAAGGATGACACTTTGTGGACAGGGGACGATGAACTTGTCCCAGTTGATCTGAACACGCTGCCTGCTCGAGCCTTCGTCACATACAAGTTTGGCTCTTTCATTGTCGATTTACTCGCCGTTCATTGTCATCATCTTCCTGTCACACTCTTGCTAGCCGATAAGCTGCCTCCAAACTCTCATCTACAGAGGAACGCTTACAGGAATTCCTTCTTCTACGACGCAAACAATCGTATCTTGTACGTGCGAACTGAACGAATGGACAACGTTGGAGAGTTTATTTTGGTTCTGGTTCACTGCCTCGCGCACATTGCTTGCGGAGACTTACGCGACGACTCCCATCCGGGATTTATGAAAGAGTTCCATCACGCCCTAGCTGTAATTTGCGATGACTTGTTCTTTGCACGATATAGGCGTTCCTCTGCGCTTGCGCGCACTCTGTCCTCACTTCCTGCAAGCGACGATTTGGAAAGCGCCAGCCGTGTGCTGTTGGAGTCTGTATTTGGTGATGCTCATACTGAGGCTGACAAGGCGAATATGGTGGATGGACTTTTGGATGTCAAGCTTTTGCGCGGCGCGAACAAAGATGGCGTGCATTTTACACATGAAGGTATTGTGGAACGTTTATCCAAGTACAGTAACTTTGCTGTCGAGTCCAAGTTGAGATCTTTCCTTGGTGCTGTGGAAGAGAAAGCGTCCCACGCCCGTCTTCAAGGCACAGAAGAATTTATTGATAAACGATTACACGAGCTACAAGGACCACTAGCTAAGGAGAGACCAGTGTCACGGTACGCTCAGTCACGTGGGAATTTGTTGTCGCGTGGAGTGTCTCGACAGGTCTCCCGCGCCCAAGCTCTGTCACGCAATGCCACTCGTTTGCCCATATCTGGGAAATCTGCACAGCCTAAAGAGGACGAGGACCTCTATAAGACCTTCTTAGAGGTATGTTGACGTGTTTTGATATTTTATCTAAGATGGGTTTTGACCTTTGAGGATACTTGACGTTATTGTGGATGTCTATGTGTAGGAGGGGAATTTCGGGAAAATGAGAGAACTCCTTTCCTGAGATCAGGAAAACTGCTGGTGCAAAGTAACTTATGTACAGATATGCAAGATAAATCAACTTATTGAAATCCTTTCTTGCTCTGGTATGTAACATAGAGAGGAAATATTTTATAGGGTCTGAGAACTAACCAAACTCATTCGTGACGAGACAAGAGCACCTTTACCTCTGGGATTCTGATAAGTAGTGACTTTGTGAACTTTTATTACAGGTTCAAGTTAATGACATGCAAGACACTGTAGACAGCTTGAACCAGGAATTCGCTCAGCTCTCCAGGCAGTCTCTTGATGTCACTGCAAATCTAAGGGAACTGGAACAAGAACTGTTGGCTCAAACAGACCTCTTCAGGGAATCAGCGGAGGGCAGCACGGAGCATGCTCAGCATAAGAATGCTGTTCGACAAACAACCACCAAGATAACTACTGCAAAGGCATCGCTGGAATCCATTAATCTGCAGAAGAGTAACTGTTTGGAGCGACTGAACTTGTTCAAGAAAAAGTTGGAAGAGAAACAAGCACAACTGGAGCAGCATGTGAACAAACCCGAACACGAGCGCAAACAACAAGCTGAGAGAAAACTACAGACAGCCATGGGAGGAAAACCAGTCAAGAAGAAAACAAAGAAGTAAACTTAGTGCTTTTATAACATTTGTATTTTTTTAATATTATTTATTTGCACTGATTGCAATACAAGATATTTAATTAGAATAGGCTGAAAACATTGAATCGAAGTTTTAGATCAAACCGCTATTTTTTATAAATTTTTGTACATGTGAAGCCGTAGTTGTAGACAGTCCATTTCTTCGTGTAGGCTCATCAAAAAAAACCGTGCAATACAGCCATCTAGTCTATTAAATAATTGTAAGATTTAGTTTTTCGACAGTCCATCGATAAGAGCCAAATCAGCTTGATGTTTTGTCATTAATTTAGAGAGAAAAAGCGATTTTTTTGTATTGAATGAAGCGCATGATTTCAGTTTATTATAGTAATATCTATTAATGTAATAAATATCGAATTGAACTATTTTTGAAATCTGAGAGAAATTTATTACGGTCAGTTTGGTATGATGAAAACTTTGATTTTAGTTTCCTGAACACGGAAAAAGGCAGTGAAACATCCTTTTTAAATTCCTTTCTCCACTGATCCAAGGAGATGAAAACGCGGGCTCAATGTACGTTATGCCCCCCCCAGTTGTGGTACCGAGCTTTACGTCTCAGATCCTCGATGCTTGTTTGTTGATTAAACTGACGATTATAATCAACCTGACTGACACTGGTAACAAAACTGGCGTGGTTACACATGCACAGATGCTCAACACACCCAGTTCTATAAGCACCATGGGTAAATGGTGTGATAGATGTTTCTTGGCGTAGCTGAGTTACGTGATTTGGTGGTTTGTATGTCGGGGTTGCCGGGACAACGAAGCCCCTCTGACTCGGTCCTTCCTGCCGACGACTTTTAGCACGACGGTTTTGAAACCAGATCTGTGGATAAATCAGCGGGATTGTCACAGTGACATGCTTTTCATCAGAACACCTAACCTAGCCCCAGTCTTACTCCTCTCCCCTCGTTTCAAGTACCCTCTCTCAATTTTGTGTTTTGTACTGGAAATGTGAGATGAAATCAAGTCATTAACAATTGTTTTTTTTTCCTTGATGTGATATACCGTATTTCCTCGAGTAAACGCGCTGATGCTTAGTTAAAATCTCGGCTAAAAGAAGGAGTACCCATTAAAAGGAGGGCGCAGACTCCTGTGCTAACTCACTTCTGGCTGAAGCTTAAAACGTTATAAATGAAGTGGCGATGGATACAGTTTTTCCCTGTTACCCTGCAACTAGAGATGAGGGAGGAAGGGAGGCGCTTATTCGAGACGGGTGCTTGTTTGACACTATGGCCTAGTGAGTAAGTGCTTATCCAAGGGAATTAGTGAAAGTTGATGGCAATTGAATTCATTTTTGTTTGTCCACAACTTATCAAACCAGTTTTGAACTTGCTTTGTTTCAAAACAATCCCACAAGACCCTGTTCGGCGAGTTACCTGAACTCTAGCTTCTGATAGGCCCATCCTCTTCGCCAGTGTCTCCCGCGTCAAGGCATCTGGGTAATGTGTCTGATCAAACAGTTTCTCCAGTTCTCGCAATTGTTCTCTCGTAAAATTTTTCCTGTTTCGCGGAGGTTTGCACCGGTTTGTTCGTCTGGGTGATTCGTCAAAACCTTCCGAAAGAATACACAGATATTAAATAAGCGTATCAGTATTTTAGAAAGACATCCGAATTTGATATGGACTGTTATTTCAAACGTTCTTCCTGAACCTAATACGCACTGTCTAGGATGCAACATGCTTTTAAGTAATCTCACTTTATAATTGACGAACGTTAAGCTTGCTTCAATGTGAATGTTCTCTGCCGAGAGTCCAGTGATCCCTCGGCTTACCAAACCTCAAAGCAGTTTCCCATTTCTTTTACGCTAATCTTCGCTCCGTGGCTGAATCAAAAGGTTTAGAAAATTTTCTTTATAAATACTGGAGTATTGATACGTTTAGTCTTGTTAGAATCGATAAGAAAATTCTTGAGGTAAGACTGACCCAAAAGTTCATCAGTCAAATTGTTTTTCTTGTTACTCGGAGTAAGATGGTTTTATACCAACTGAGTAGAAATTGAGACTTTCAATATAAACTATTGCAGTGAACTGTTTAATCTACAATTAATAAATAATTATTATTATAGTTTATATTGGCATATTTTGGTCCATAGATTACTTGATAAGGACAAATTTATAAATTATTTCAGACGTTAACCTTTTTGATGAGAATTTCAGGAACGCAGTGACTTCCTTGTAGTGTCTCAAGTTATGTTTATAACAATGGCACAGGAAAATGTCCCGTTTTGCATTTAGGAATTAATTTCTAGAAAATAGAAATAGTTATTCTGAAAGTAGTTTAAACTACAGTGAGATAGTAATACATTCAACCTTACGGCGAACAAAGACGAAATGTTCTGTTATTTGGTTGTTTCTCTCCTACCTTGCACAGCATACCGTCTCATTTCAATACTGATGTCTTCGGTTTCCTTTTTCCTTGGCTCATTTCGTTTATCGCTCAAAATTTCCGCAATGCTGAATGGAAGAGTCACCAAGCTCGAAGAAGATGAAGCATTGTCCTGCTCTCGGCCACCATCAACTTGTGTGGCTGATGAATCTTGTGGCTTTACCTTGTCGAACCGGGACACAAAAGCAGTAAGACCATCCATGGAATATCAATACCCACTTATGCAATTAATTGTTGCATTCTTGCTCTCAATAACACTGATTACAGCTCACTTTAGACTGGGCGAAATGTTCACTAGATCCTCGCCTCACAAGACTTCTCAGACGCGCTGTGTAGATATACAGCCAGTGGATTTTGACACGGTTAATAAAACACACAAGCAAAACAATGATATTAGTTCTTAAGGATTGTTAATTAAAAGCTCATCACTGATTAATCAACTTTATTATTTGCGTTATTAGTGACAGTTTATAAAGCTAAACTTTCACCCCCTACCATTCATTTATTTGTCCTGTTATGAACCCATACCGCGAGCTACAAAACACCACTGAAAATAATTTCAAACATTATTAAAGTAAAATTTCAAGCTGAGAGTGTGCACAGTGGAAATGAAAATACCGTGTGCTTCCATTTTACCACAGGAAAAGTCATTGTCGCATTGTCCCGCTGAGAAATTATTTCCTTATTAATTAAGTTCTTTTCAGAGCTGTCAAAGCCGTTGATAAATGCCTCACGCCTCTGATCACACAGATAGAGAGAACAACCGCTACACCACTGGTGTAATCCTTTTCAATCATAAAAGTAATTTATTTCAGTTCGAGCTAATTGCGTCGAGGTTGAGATAATCTGGAGTCACATTTTCACGGAGTGAATCCAGGAGGTTTCAGTTGAAAAAAAAAGCAACCAGCAGTTGTCATAATTCAATGCTGAGCGGCGTTTTTGCGTTCCCGCAGAGTTGAAGTATAAATTGTCTCCCGCTAAATCTTGCCGCATCGCTTCTAAAGCCAACTGTTCCATTGTACTATGGACTTTCAAAATTGTAAAGCCACTTAGGAGCCTTTGTAAACAGAGTGTGTCTTGCAGTAATACTTGTTCAAGAACGCTTTCGTTGTTTTTCCCATTTGGGGCTTGAAATTAAAATGATGAAGAAAAAAGTGAGATACTCATCGAGTGTGGTACCGCCTTGTTTTTCAAGCGAAGTTGAAAGATTTGTATTTAATCTTCACAACATTGAAACCACAGGCAATTAAGAAGACATGCGATAGTCAGTCATCAAAAATATCTGACGAAAATTTCACTGTTTCTACGTCAAGCGTACCACCCAAGAAAAAACGACAGATCTGTCCTAAAAACTATCAGTTTAGTTTGGCAATATTTAAAATAAATGAACGCTAATCATATTTAGTTTGTAGTGTAACTATCGCCATCATCATGGTTTTTCAACGGGACATCATGAACTCAGGGCGCCCCCTGTTATGTGACTATTTGTGTTTCGTGTGGATTTTGTTTGATAAATACTTGCTTATTACGAAGTTCTTCTCGAACTTATAAATGGCTTAATTTACTGCTAATGACTCGATGTTTTTGTTTCAGCTTTCGTGGCTAACGTTGAGGTCTTCCAAATTACAATTGTTGTTCTCCCTCTATTAGTCTCGTCACGTCTGGCAGAAGCAGGTTTTTTTTTTTTTAAGAAAAATACCTTTGGAACACCTTGTTTTTCCTTCAGAACAAAATTGCTTGCAATTAAGTTCTTGCGGTCGTTAACAGATAATTATCATTGAGTCACTTAAATATTTTAATCAGATAATCGAGATATGTTGTATTCGCTCAAAGCAGAGGACGTTCAGAGAGACAGATGTTGATATCGAAACTGCTCCAAACGGCCGAGGTACAAATGATTTACACGAGCGTCAAAAGAAAACTGAACACTACAGGACTCTGGTCCTTTACGTCTGTAAAACCAAAGTAAACTGTACAAATGACTTTACTACGACTGGAACAGAGAAAAATTGAACGGAAACAACACAAAGCTTCAGTTCCATTCACGAGGAAATTAAGATGACATCGACCACACAGGTAGACGAATTGTCATAGCTGATCGTAAGATGTCACTTTAAAATCTAGATTGGGTTTTAATAGTTTTTCACGGCTTTGTTAAGATCAGAACACGATCAAACTTCAATTGAAATAAAGAGTTGAAGTAAAACCAAACAAGCCACTGTTTTAAACCACTTTTTAATTTAACAGTTATCAGATGAACGCCATTATATTACATGAATAACTCTAGGGAGGAGAGGGTGTTCTTCTAAAATTGATTCTAACAAGAAAAGTTCTCGGAAATGTAGAATCGCCGAACCTGTAAAATGAGTCACTGGAATTTCACACAAAAGTCATTAAATTAATGTTGGTGTGCTTCCAAAGAGAAAGTTACCTCACGCTTTACGAGAAGAAACTAATATACGGCCAGGAGCACGCCAAGCTGAAAGGTTTAATGATGACAGATGCGTTTGAAGAACATAAAACTCTGCGCTCTGCAGAAACTTCCCTGCAATTTAAACGTTTTTGATTACTTTCCAGTTTCAGTTCCATTCCTTACTATGGTTTGTGGTATGACTGAAAATCCTTTCGTAGTAAATTTGGAACTACAAAGTAATGTTAAATTAGGTTCCTACTCTGCTTTCACATGTCATGTGACGATCGGTCCAGTCTAAAACGGTTTGAAATCTCCAAACGTAGCTGCGTCAGAGACTGGGGCATGCATGTCTTCTCTAATGGCGCTACGGTCACGGATTTTAGCAACGAGAAGGGAGTGTTCAACCTAAAGAGAGACAGTCAACAACCTTATTAGTTAACATTGTAAAGAACAAATATGTCTGTGTTTGTAACTGAGGGACAGCAGTTACTTGAAAATGTAAATACCTATTCTACTCTTACTTCATGACTAGCGAGTTTTACCTTATTATGAGAAAGACTTTCTAGGAAAACGGTAAGAACTGAACAAGTCGTCTGCTGTAAGTTTCCAATAATTGTACTGGGTTGACATACAGAAAGTAACGTAAGTGGGAAACATCAGAGTTTATTTTTGTAATTTGCCGTTCCCTAAGCGTTACGCCTAAAATCACTGTTACGTCCCGGGATCTACACGGAATCGTATTCGGATTCTTGTCCGTAAAAAGTTTCCGACAGTCTTGAAACTTGCTGTAATCAGTACTAAGACACACCTCTAAGTCATCGAAAGCTCAACGAAATCCAAGTCGACTTGAAACCCCTTCCCTATCATTTTTTGGTCTTTGAAGTACATAATGAAAAGAACGAAACAAAAGGCAAACAAACAAAAGACAAGACCCAACTTACCACTCCAATACGAACTTCCATTTGTTGAACTTCCTGTTTAAGTCTTGTCAAAGCTTGTTTTATTCTGACTAATGGACCTGCATAACACAATTGAAATGACACTAAAGATCTTCGCTCCCCTGTTACAAGTCACCGTCACCAGAGTTGCAGAATGAAATCAAAGATATAATTATGTCCCTTACCTGCATCAGTCATATTTGTTCCTCTTTCATCCATCTGTGCTTTGACAGACTCAAGCTCTTCAGTGATCTAAACAATCACACAAAATGAATTCAATTTGGTTTATCCTCAGAATACTGTGTCATCAGGTAAAAGGAGTAAAAAACAATCACAAAATTCCACATGTAAACAAACCTGTGATAATGACTTGGTGAGGTCAGTTACTCCCCCAGAGCCTTGCTTGTAACGTTCTTTAGTCTGATGACACACGCAAATATATTAAGACACGTCAAAATTGTAGCCCAAGTGAACTTACATCTCTGCAAAATTAATATTAACAAACATACCTCAGCTAAAGTGTCCTGTAAACTCCGAAATTCTTGTAGCAAATGTTCCAGCTGTTATAAACAAAAGGCAGAAATTATTTCTGAGTCAAACATTAACACTCAAACCTAAACTCTAACATCTTTTTAATTCATTTTATTGTCTAATTAGGTTGCACCTGATTGTTGATGTACTTTTCCCGACTTCCTATTTTCTCAAGTGTCCTGCCAATTTCATGGTGTAGTTTGTCAAGATGACCCTAATTGAAATAGCAGTTGAAGATGTGAGTAATACAGAATGGTGATGAGCTGGCAGCAAAGTAAATAGTCTGTATTATAGGGAACTACTAGTTGATCAAATATCAAATTCTCCAACTAACTTCATAAAAATTGTATGGCAGACAGCAAGGACAATTTCTAAATTAAATGTGCTCTCAATAGCAAAAGGTTAACTATGAAAACAATTAAGGTACACGATAATTAATCTATAGGTGAGTTCCAATTAATCGTACCTTTGTCTCTGTTAGAGAAGATTTAATTCCTTCACTGTGTTGTTGCATTTGTTCATAATGTGTCCTCCAGTCCTACAAAGGGGAACAGACGTAAAACGCCATCAGAAACCCTGCCTAAATCAAACTGCCACTGACCAGAACTTAAACTGGATATCTTTGATTGCCTAAAAGTTTAAAGAAAGATAAAATAAAAGGAAATAAATGTTAAAAATTTACCTTGTTGTCAGTTCTAATGTGAACCTTCAGTAGAGGCAGAACTCTTTCAACTTCAAGTTTCCACTCAGCAGCGTCAATAGTTGACTCCATCACAGACTCAGGTTTTGATGAATCAGTAATCTCCTTCATAGCAAAAGACACAAGTAAAAACATAAAGATTTTGATCCTGAGATGAATTCATTTATCAACAATCATCACAAACTGGTTCTGATTACATTCATTTGTGACTGCTGCTTCATTCCTGCCAGATCTAGATAACTGTCTTCTTCTTCAATTTCTTCCTCTGTTTCATCCTGCCCAAAAGAGGTACAAAAGTTAGAGATTAAACAAACAACTGTGCTCCAAAAGACATAAAAACTCAGGTAAAAGAAAATAAGAGTTTGTTATTAGAGATGATGTAAATCAACTAAGCTTGAAAGAAAATGCCTGCACACAGTGAGCATATCAGTATTTTGATTTAAGTTGTTCTCACCATCATTTCTTCCTCCACTTTGTTCAGTGTCAGTTCAGCTTCATCATCTTCCATTGTTTCCTCCTCAAAGTCTTCCTGTTCATGTTGTGGCCTGGGAAATTAGAAAAATATGGTTTCATCACAACACAAATAAATTTATGAACTATCTAGGATACATATAATGACATGTAATAATATGGACATTTACTTTTTCCAGCCAAATTTCTTGACTTTCAGAGCCTCGTCTGCAAGTTTATCAATTACATAGCAAACCTACAAAATATCATAAAACAAACATTTTCACAATCATATAAAGTTGCATATAATTTAATCAACTACTTAAAATGGACATTGCAAGCTGAATTACAAATTTACTTTTACCTTGTCATTCTTGGACTACACTAAAATTATTACCTTGGATCAGTAGAGTTTAGTGTAGAGTCAGTCACATTATAATAAATATGCATAATAACAACAAAAATTACATAGTTTAATAAGATTTGTGTTCATTTACCTGTTCTCCTGTTCCTGTTTTCAATTTTGCTGGTGGAAAATCTGCTCCAACATTCTGAAATAAAGTCACTTATAATAAATCACAAATAAAAATTAACTTATATTTAGTGACTAATCATCAGTCTTATGAATTAATATCAAATGATTATTAAATTTGTCTCACCAGTTTTTTAAGTTCATCCAAAATGCTGGACACAGTAGCATTAGGGTCATCATACTGAAAAAGAAGACAACTTCAATAATTATACACCATGGATGTATCAAGCACTCATTATCTGACAGAAAACAGTGACCAGTGATCTCCATGTTACAAACCTCTTGAGGTTGTTCAAAGTTCCTGTCACAACGTGTAAACAACCAAGCTGCTAATGATGTGAACGTAAAAAACTGCTCCCCTGGGTTAGTTGCCACTGCAAAGTAGTGCCTGACAATGTTTGAAAAAAGAAGGGTTAAATTACCAACCATAACTTGGCGATTCGCGGTCTACTAGGAGCTAAAAAAATCATCTTTCTTTCCACATAAAAGACCATATGTTTGAAGAGCTCCACTACAGAGTTTTGTTGTTCTGGACAGAAGCAATCCCTGTCATTATGGATAGTCCTCAAATCATCTTAACACAACTAAAATTGCGAGGTTTGTGTCAAATTTTACTAGCTGTTACCTTGACAAAGGTCTGAACCCCATCTGTTTGCAGAATTCCGTCTCGTAGTCAAGCAATTTTAGTTTCTCGAGAACTTCTTCCATAACCCCTACAGTTAACATATAACCCATAGAGGCATTATCAGCTGTGGCATCAGCGCCACGGCGCCCTTCACCCTCCATTCCCTAAATCTTAAGCTTCTGAAATTAACTCTTTTTATCAAATGCGAGAAGAATCGACACCAAACTCAATAGTTGCCATGTTATTTTTGATCTTGTGAAAATAAGCCTCGCTTTCGTGATAGACAGTTTGGAGCCCGCGCTTCTAATAGCTGACTTTTTTATTTTCAAGATGGCGGACGTTTCTATGAAGAAAGTAAAAGATCTGATCGCAAAGAAAGATGCTATTGAAAAGGAAATTAAGGAGTTTCAAGACGTCCTAGACTCGGTAAGAACTCTTGACTTTGGTTGGATGTAAAAGTTGCCCTATTAATGAATTTTATGGTTTTTTTTTCAGCAAAAAGGAGTTGGGATGAACGAAAAGCTGATTGACGAAGACAATTACCCTCGTTCAGACATTGATGTTTATACCGTGAGAGTCGCAAGAAATCGGATTATATGTAAGAAATATATTTGTTTCATGTAGTTTTCTCGGAATATGGAAAAACATAATTCTGATGATCACTGAACGTTACTATTAAAAATTAAATTTCAACCGAAATTTTGCTGACTCATGTCAACTGTTTTTCTTTTTTATTTCATCATGACAAATAGGTCTTCAGAATGACCACAAGGCGCTGATGAAAGAAATAGAGGAAGGAATTCATGAAGTACATGCTCAAGCACGAGAACAAAACAATAAACAAGAGACTCAACAAGACCAGGAAGTGGAAGGTAGCAAGGCTCAATCACTTAACTCATTACGCCGTAAAATAAAAAAAGTACCAGTATCAATATTCTCCATACTCTTCTTAACACATTTCTTAAGGTGCTGACAAAGAGAATTTGTTTGAAGATCGAGAGCTTCTTTAGTTGGTGATCATTTCCTGTATTCTCATGACCTTGATGTGTGATTCATGGATGATATTGTTAAGAGAAATTAGATGCCAGCCTCTCTTTAGGGTCAAAGGGTTAATCATCAGTCAATTAATGTGTTTCCCTCCTGTTAATATAACTTTGTGTCACACATGTCAATAAATTGATACCTTCTTAGAAAAATCATTTTTAAGACTTAGTAAAGAAAAAGGCATCTAATTATCAATGAACACTCTTAGACATGGCCATGGATATATTTTCAGATATTTCGACCAAACTAAAAGCTTTCCTCAGAGTGGATTCAGTAGCTAATGCATCACCGTCATTCCAAGCTGTGAGTGTTCTATTCCATGTGTTCACTTTGCTCCTTACTGTCATTTGTTTTGGTTTTTTTGTGAACTGTTAGGTAAATGACAGACTGGTCAATTCTTGCTCTCTCTTTGTAGGGTTTGAAAGTTGGTGATTGCATTTTACAATTTGGTTCCATAAATGGTGAAAACTTTCATAGCCTTGCAGACATAACTTCTATTGTACAGCACAGCAAAGGGGTAAATAATAAGTTTGTTGTACATTTTGTTGTTTAGGTGTCTCAAGTTAAGCTAGGTTGGGTTAATACATTCAGTCCTTTTTTTGTTCTCATTTTGTTCTAACAATGGTTTGTTTCAATTTTTGTTAGTCTGATGTATTTCACTGCATGATGCAATAATATTATTCATTGGTTCTTTAAATAAACTGTGGCCTTGAAGCATGTTTGTACAATCTGTGCATCAAATTAAATTAATCTCTAATACTTTGTCTAGAGACCAGTGAATGTAACTGTTGAAAGAGGAGAGGGAACAAAGGCAATCACTCTCACTCCAAACACATGGAGTGGCCAAGGACTTCTAGGGTAAGATATGCATTCAGACATTCTTTTTTACATTTTCATATCATTTTCAGTATAGTAAGCCCACAGACTTAAGAATATTCTGTTGTTCTCAAATGTTCTTAACAATAACTATGGTACACCCTGGTTGATAATTTTTTTTTTACTTTTTTTTTTAACAACATGTAAAATTTTGAATTTATTTTCAGTTGCCACATTGTACCTGTGAAATAGAAGCAAGTTTTTGCAAGTTAGTTTGTTAACCAGCAAGTTATCAACAAAGAAAACTATGCCAGCAACATTCAAGCCCAAATTTTAAACTGTTCATATCCAACTGGGTAAACAAGTTAGCAATGTGAAGGATGTTAGTCCAGGACAGAGCATCCAGCAAAGTAACTCCATATTTTGAACCTTCTGATGAATGAGATGGCATGAAAAGCCCTTTGTGTATTGCTCCTATCTTGCACTGCCCTAAACAACAATGGGGTGTTTCTCTTCTACTTGAAATTTTCTTCAGTCCGATCACTGCATGCAACGCTTGTGTTATATACTGTACCACTGGGAATAGACATATTAAGTTATTAACGAATGACAGTGTAATATGACAAATTGTTTGATATGCCAAGGTTATGTACAGTATATGTACAGTATATGTACAGTATATGTACAGTATATGTACAGTATATGTACAGTATATGTACAGTATATGTATAGTATATGTACAGTACCAAAAAGCTCATAAGACAGTACATTGCCCAGTATGTTGCAATAAAATACAGAAACATTTCTCATTCAGTACAATCTGGTCACCTTACCTTCTTACAAATTAAATTTGACACAGTAATAATTTCAGCCTTTTGTGTGCAAAGATTTTCTGAAAATGTGTTGTAAAAGTACACGTACTTCACAGAGTGTTGCTGGGCTCATATTTTCAGGTTTATTAGTCACAATCTGACCTCATTTGTTAATGACTACTGAACATAACTTTGTGACTTTTGGAAACTACATTTTGAGGATAATCAAATCAATTAACAAGTGTTTTGATCAATAAGCTTTCTGAAAACAAAGCAATCATACAAATAGTTTTTTCCCCATAAAAATCATAGTTGAACAACTTCTTGTCCCTTGTACCCTCAGGAGTGACCTGTGAGTTATTTTCCTTTACAATGTCCACACTTTGTGAAGAGGAAAGGCAATGAAAAGATGGAAAAATGAAAACTTAGAAATATTGTTTAATTTAATACCAAAATGTGTCTGCTAAGAAGATAAGAAATGTATGGCTGACAGTTCTGATAGTTGATCTTTAGATCTTGGAAGCAAAATGGCTCAATCACTCTAAACACAAGTGTCAAAGTTTCACCTACTTCAAACTTACCAGTAAATACACTTGGGTTATTACACTCCCTTTTAAAATAAATAGTACATACTGAATAAAGACTGCAAGCAGATTATCTGACTGCACCTAAGAAACAGTGCCAGCACTACACAACAATACAAGTTTGTAATTTAAGCAATTACTGTTTGCCTTACTTAAGTCCATAATGAGTGCAACATAATTATATAATTACAAAGAGTAAAAATCCCTTCATTCTTCTTAGTGAAGTGTTGAGTTGCTGAGGCTGCTGATGCTGTTGTAGGCTTGATAACCAATTGGTTTTTCAGAAATCAAGCCTTGCTTCTTTCCCACTCTTTAGGGAGGAAATCTAAGACCAGACTTGAGAAAGCTTATTGTTGTTTCAGCAGTTTAAAAACTCTGCCATTATCATATCAGCTGAGATTCGTGTTCTGGATAACAGAGTGAAGAATTTCAAGTCCATGCATTTCTTTTAGCTTTTCGAGATGTCTGAAAAATACAATGAGAATATTTTTAAGACATTTACAACCAGTCACATTTAAAATGACTGAATATTTTGTAACGTACAACACCAGAAATGCTATTGCCCTTTTGTACCTTTTGTCTGATGTTGCAAGTTTTGCTAAACAAATGGCAGCATTCTGTTTGACATCTTTGCTTAGCTCATCATTTGTTGCATGCTTCAGTAGGATTTCCACCACACCATTATCACTGGCCAAATGTTCACTTACTCCCTCTGCAAAAAGAAAAGATTGCTAATAAACTAAAGCAGACATCAGGCATAATTAGTATTATAACCTAATGCAACTTAACTTGATGGGTAAATACACTTTAATATCCAAAGTTAGTATCCAAATGAGAGCAAGATTTTTGTTAAGAAATTTAGAGGCAGAAGAATAGTGTAAACATCCAGAGGAATTTGTAAAATTAGCTTAATAACCACATTTTGACATCTTTTGTGATCTATGACTGAACAGATGCAAGGCAACATAGAATCTATTTGATAAATATTACATGTTCATAACTGCTTCAAGTCTGACAAAAAAGTAGCTCAGGGCATTGAAATTTAGCCAAAGAGTTCTCTTATGCCTAATGACCACCATGCAGAGTGTGAATTCAAAGAAACTAAATAAGTGTCTTGTCCAAGAACACAGCACATTCTCTGACCTAAGGTTCTACTTTCACTCTTCTGCTTAGAATCCATGGTAATATTGACAAAGCCACTGCTGTGGTAGAGAGATGATAGTTCAGTATAACATACCCATATCAGCACAGTGGCCAATGCAGAGTGCTGTATTTCCTATGATGGTCTCATCTGTAGAATGAAGTAATTGAACCAAGAAGTCCAAAGCTGAAACAAAATAACACTGTGTCATACAACTGCACTCTTTGTGGATAACTGTTGATTCCTACTTTAGTTTTGAATCAATCCACTAACATTCCAGTTTCTGTTACACATAGCGACAAGGAGTAATACTATTTCCCTATGGTGAGATGCAAATATGTTGCTCTTTCATCAAGTTTTCATGCATACACTGGTATTTCCTCAGACTAATGTGAGATGTTTTTAGAGTTAATCAATCAAGGTTTAAACTCCAACCCCCTAGATCTGATAAGAGTGCAACACGCATGCTCAGTGACAGTGTACCTTTTTCACTGAGTACAGCTTCTCTGGCATCTTTTCTCTCCATTGTGCACAATGCCAGTGACTTGATTGCATATTTTTTTACAGTTTCTCTTGTACTTGCTCCCCATCCAACCTGAAAATGGCTGCTTAAGATGACCAGCTGTGGATTAAATTGAACAAAAACTAACTTACATCAACATGCATGGGCAATCTATCAACTTGCTGGCCAAATGTATTGACAATAAAAGCAAAAGTTGAAAACAACAATGAAGGTTCTTCACCTTTAGAATGCGCATGATGTGAATGTGGATTTTCTGATCACATGCTTGATTTAGAGCATCTGTAGAATGAGCTAAAATATTTCTCAGGGTAGCAAGACTGCGCTGGAAGATTAAATAAAAAATAATTATTAAATAAAAGCAATTTATATTCATTGTATCAAATATTTCAGATTGCTAGTAATGGGGCAAATTATATGACTATTTTCAAAGGATGCTACAAATGGGTTTGACAAATTAGATTTGTTAGTGATAAGTATTATCCATAACTAGGGGAACTCTACATACATACATAGCTAAACAACCCTACACTCTACACTGAGTAGGTAACACTAGAAAGGACAATGTTTATACTTATACCTCACAAACTTCATCATAACCTGTGTTAAGCATTTCAATGAGTGATGGAATCAATCTTGGAGCAGCATCCTACATGGGAAAGCCAAAAAAAAAAAAACAAAAAAGAATTGTTTATTTTCTTGATAAATCCTTGGAAGTTAAAATTACTTATATGAAAAGTTGACTCAATTATACAGGCATTTTGATTGGTTGTTAGTTGTTATCTATTGGAGGCAGATGTGTAAGTGACATCACTAATAACAAGATTTTGCTTTTATATGATCTGAAACAAATAGATTTCATGTTGCTGTGGGTCTGTATAGTAATAGATCAAAGAAGCTGATAAAAAATGATAAGAACATCTGTGACATACTCAGCTGCACCTTTTGCACCTCTTTTTGTTCTTATCACATTTTGGTGTCATCTTTGATCTATTACTGAACAAACACATGGCAGCATGGAATCTATCTGTTAACTAGTTTAAGGATGCTTGTTTTTTGTGACTTAAAGATTTCATAAAAATTGGACAACAATTTTTTTTTTTCTTTTCAATAGATGCACACAAAGCATTATATTGAGATAATACCTTTTGATGCTGGTTTGATTGCAAAGATATGTTTGCCAACAAACCCAGAAGAGAATAAATGGAGCTTCTCACTTTTTGATCCTTTATTCCAGAGATATTGCAGTCCTGCATGGAAAAGAAGGGAGAATATTAACCCTTTCACCCCTAAGAGTGAGTAGTATATAATGTCTCCTTACAAAATCACCCCCAAATCAAACATAACAGTCACAAGAATAAAATAAATGATCAACAACTAAAGAAACTCATGATTGTTACACAATTTCTCCTTATGAAATGTCTAGAGAACAGTATAGAGAATATGCATACTGGTTTTAGGGTGTAGAGGGTGAAAACTGTGACACAACAAAAACAAATTGGTAGGCAACCTATCTTCCATAGCAAAGGTCTAAATTAAAACTGAACAGTCTGTATGAGGTCATTACTTGCGTTGTAAAAAAGTCAGTGAAAGTGCAGTGAAAATACCAACCAGGAACTTGACACTTGTTTCCCACCAATCTTGTTCATCAGCAATCTTTTTTCTGATACATGTGTCCTTGGCCATGTTGGCTAAAGCTGACAAACCAGATGAAACTAGAGACCAGCTGTCTGTTGGTTCATGGGAAACCTCTGTGTTTACTTCACACAACTTTCTCTGCACAAAGAAGAAAAAACAATGAAGAGAGAATGAAAATAACTGTATGTGGAAAAAATGGAAGTTTGGAGTTAGAAGAGAATTTATTTCCTTGGGGATGGATACAAAAAAACCAACACAATAACAAATTCCAATGAACACTGTACAGTAAAAAGTATTCTACATTACCACAAATTTCTGAGAGATGCTCAGAAAGTCTTTGTCAACCAAATCTCTGATTTTTTCACAGAATCTAAAAAGTAGACAGAAGTTGACAAACTTGAGAACAATACAACTGTTTCCAAATTTTTGTTGATCACTTATTGCCATTGTTCAGAAAACTTGGTAAAGCATTCTTAGATATCATACCCTAGTTCCAGGGCTAGGTTATTAATTGTGGACATTGCTACAACAGCTGTGTTAGTTCCCCTCTGTGCCAGTGAAAATAGCGCCTCAGTGACACTGCAAAGAAACACATGATAAGTTTTCAGCTATGACTCAATAAGTGTGTTATTTGCTAAGAAGCCATCTGCTCGAGAAAAAAAGATCATCTTACCACTTGATATGTTTGCAAGTAGTGAGACCAACTCTGCCTTTTTTAGTTTGGGACAGCTGGTGAAGAAATGATGTGGCAGCTGTCTTAATGACAGGAGAGGTTGGATCTCGCAGGAAACGATTGAATGATGGAGTGTGATCTTTTTTGAGAAACTCCTCTACATTGTGATCTAAAATTTAAAAAAATGACATTTCTGATTTCATTTATCAAAGCAAGAGGAAGCAATTTAGCATTTTGGGTTAAATTATTCCATACTTTTCAGTCCTTCTGGTAAGCAAGTTCATTTAGTTTTGTTCCACCATCATCATGAGAACTATTAGCCTTACCATTATCATTATTATTATTATTAGCCTTACCATTATCATTATTATTATTATTAGCCTTACCATTATCATTATTATTATTATTAGCCTTACCATTATCATTATTATTATTATTAGCCTTACCATTATCATTATTATTATTATTAGCCTTACCATTATCATTATTATTATTATTAGCCTTACCATTATCATTATTATTATTATTAGCCTTACCATTATCAGTACATGCCTCCATTAGAATTCTTAAAATTTCACAAATTAAGTCTATGTCTTCCAACATTACACAGACAGCTGCTCCTTCCCAGTACCTGAAAATTGAAAAAAATAAGTCTTTACATGAGCAAGGCAGGAAGAAAAGTATCAAGTAGCAATTGGATGTATATGTCTTGCAGACTTTGATTGGCAGTCTTGAAATTTCACCATAAAGATGAAATTTAGAGTTCCATTACTTATGAGGCACACAGTTTATTTAAACAGTTCATTTTAAAAAAGTTCATTTATTTAACATAATAAAGACTTGGACCTTACACCATAACATCAAAGGTTATTTTGAAATAACCCCTGATAACATGGTACAAGACTTTAAAAAATTCTTGTACCATGAAGTAACAATTGTGCTTTTAAAAGAATTGGGTTAGCACTTACTTTTTAAAAGTATTATTGCAGTCTATGATCTGAAAACCTCCATAGCATCTGAATAATGTTCTGTTTGCACCTTCAAGTTCAACCATAGATAAACAAAATATAAGCCCATTGTAGATTTCAGAACTTACCATAAACACATGGAAGAAACAATATGTAATAAGGAATTAATTCAGCTCAACCTCTACAAATTTTGAATGATGGGGACTCTCGTAACTTTCAAAGGTACAATTTTTCAATAAAAGAAATTACTCGATTTAACAATTAATCCAAAATTAACTATATCATCGATTCAATTAGCAAGAGAAAAACCATTTAACAAAATTATTTGCAGAATTCAACTCAATTAAAGTGAGGATTATTATAAATAATTATAATTCCAAAATAAAAATTGACATACTGCTATCAAGAAGTGGAAGGAGTTTCCTTGTTGCGTCAGTATATTGTGATGTGGCCAGGCTGTTTTTCTGTAGTCTGTTTATGGAGTCTCTTATCAACTCTCCACTCTCCTCTCCAGCAATACCAGCAGCCTATCATCAATACATAATTAAAATGGTTATATGATGTATTCACTTTCATCTGTGGTTCAAAATTAAAATTGCTTCATTTTGGAGATCAGGGGAGTATGTGCAGCAAAACATATGATAATTAGTTTGAAATAAAGAAAAAAATCAGATGGAAGTAATTTATCCAAACCAAAATTTTGAGACGAAACAATTCCAAAATTCAACAATACAAGGGGAAAAAAAGGTGATATCCATTGAGATTTCCTGTTATAGTGCAGATATTGAAGTTTGACAATGTACAATAAGACTGACCTCTTTTTCATCCTGAAGTCTTTTTTTTGCTGACTCAGCCTCAGTAATGTAAGCTGTATATAACATTATTGTGGAAAAATGTTAAATTTAAAGGTTAATTACCATTTCAATAATTGAAAACAACATTTTCCTAAATCAACTAATTCAACACAAAGTCTGTCACTAAAGTACATATACTAAATAACTGTAATCAGTTATAAGTATTGAATACATTTTAACACTTTTTCTTGCTTTGGTGCCTCTTTGATGGCGTCCTTCAGAACTGAGATGGCCTACAATAAAGAATTGTGATCTGTAAGTTAATTGTACACAATATCAGTTGTAAATGTCATAAAATGACCACAATATGTTTGCAAATCAAACTGTACCTCATCAAATTTTCCTTGAGCTTGTAATGCTCTTGCTTTGTGAACAAAAGCTTTCACCCACCTGGGATCAATCTAAAAATGTAATAAAAATAATTTGATACTTATTTCCCAGACTGTAAATTTTAGCTAGCTCCTGACTTTTCTTTCTTCTTTTCTCATTTTAAGCCTTAACCCTTTCACTCCCAAGATCTCACAAGTAATTCTTCTTACTGTCTGCTGCACCATTCTTCTGGAGTGAAATAGGAGAAGTAGGTATTAGATCAACTAATGACCTCTTAATTGATTTTTCCATATTCTCATCACTTGACTGCTTGATATTGTATTGATATTGGGAGGAGAAATTCTTATTTAGCGCTTAAATCAATACAACTGTAGAGCAAGGTAACTGATCATGATCTATGATTACTAGGTTAAAAAGTGTATTACTTAAAAATTAAACTTGCCTTCAATGCAAGATTGCAGTCTTGGATTGCAGAATCGAAGTCATTCAGTTTGATGTATGCCTGAGAGTAACAAGGACCATGAAATGCAACGTCAAAAATCTCATATAAACAGAAATCAGCAATACTACTTCAGTAGTAGAAAAGACTTCCACTACATAACAGTTTTATTGTCAAGTTAAGGGTGATTATAAACAATTTTAAGACAGTAATAATGATCACCATTACTGACACCATTATCACCATGGCACTTTTAAATCAATGAAGTAAACAGTGAATCATTGCAGTAACTGGTCCACCTGAGCTCTGTTGGTGTAAAGTACTGGATTGGAGCCACTTTTAGTGATTGCCACTGTGTAGTTACTAATAGCTTCTGGATAATTCCCTTCCTTGAAAGCAGCATTTCCTTTTCCTTTGAGTTTTTCAGCTTCTGCTTCAGACCTCTTTTTTATCTTTGCCCTCTCCTTAGCATCTTCTTCAACTGCTTTCATGAACTTCTCTGTAGAAATACATATTCAAGACTTCCTTTAGCACTGCAAAGATTTCATTTCACTCATACCAACAGGAGTTTGGTATTATTGTCTAATGTGCTAAGAAGTAGAATCTTAAGTTTGAGAGTAAAATTAAACTCTTAAACATGAAGACTCAAATTGAAGCATAATCTGAGAATCCGATCTCTCCAAGACTCTCTCACAGTGCTTACAATAATATCCAACATCCACTGGAGCTCCAGCAGATATTCTGTTGTGAATTGCTGGGTGTACTTTGCCACAAGGCACATTCAAGTCATGCAATTCATTCAAGTTGAACAAATTCAACAAGTGAGACCTAAAACACCTTGAGATCTTTTAGATTTCTTTCAGGCAACTTTCACCTTAGTTTAAATTTTAAAAAAACTATTAATGTTGTCTCATCATACTGTATACCAAATTTCCAGGAAAAATAAGATTTTGAGTTAACAAGAACATACTGACTCCAGTAACCTATGTCCTTTTTAAGGACTTTTTGTGGGAAACTCATGCAGCAGGTTTGCAAGTCAGCAAATGGAAGATTTTGATTACAAATAAACAATCGGTGAAGCAATTGTTACAAAGGAGACTATTACATGATCATTTACTAAAGTTGAACACAGAAAACTCTGTTTGAACCCATTTTATTATAATAGAAATAATGAGCTAATGAGAGTGAAATTGTTTTTCTTATTATTCTCCAGCAGGTGCTTTACCAAGGTAGCCACCTACTTCAAATCTTATTGAAAGCATTGCAAGAGCTCACGTAGATGGAAAATACGTAGTCTAAAACACCAAGACTCTGGATCATGAACCACTCAACAGTGTAACTGATTATAACAATGCTATGCATATAGAATCTCTTCTGCATCCTGCTTCCACTCAAATAAACATATCACAAAATATTAACTACCAATAACAATAATTAGAACTCACCTGCACAAACTTCTCCTGCATCTCTCTAAGTAGAATAAAAAATATTGTTCATAAAATAATAATTACAACATACATATATAACAAAAGATATAAACACATAATTCAATTAATTAGTTCATTTTAATAAAACTGTTCTCTTAAGGCATAATTTTGAATGATAGACTGCACACCTGTAAGTAGACAGAAACACAAATTTCAAATCTGAACTATCCCAAGGTAACACAACTTAGCTTATTAACCTAACCATTTCACCCAAGGCAGTTGATGGATCTAGAAGTCTTCTCTCCTCAGTTTTAGAAATGACTGTTCTCTCAGCCTTTGTTTTGACTTGTTTACATTCATCATCAGAATCATCATCATTTTCAGCCCTGTGTCGCTTCAAGAACTCATCTGCAGCTGATAGAGCTTTGTTTTGCCTTTCATAGTCACCACATGTTAAATCTTTCATAATGGAATCTGGAAAAAAGAAAAACAACAACAAAATCATGCAACAAAATTGTCCTCAGTGTGCCTTTCCAATGAAGTTTAGCAGATTGGAGGAATTAACAAACCAAGGGCCTATGTTTAAATCACTTTTGAAGTGTTCCCGTGACATATAACAATTGGCACAAATTCATTTCTTTGTTGCTCTTATATGCAACAGTTATGAGAAATCTACATGGCAATACATACAATCAGAAACTAGAGTAGATACTTGATAAATCAGTGATCATTTTGTCTCTCATCAGTATATGATAATGAGCCGGACATATTCTTATCAATATGGACGTGAACAGTTACATTCCTATTATTAATTGTTACAATCAGTCTATATATGTCGGCTCACTGTAAGACCAAGCACTGCAACAACGGTCAAAACATGCCTTCTAACCGAGATCAGGCAGCCATTTACCATACGAAGACAAAATACAGCTTCTTGCTCACATTGTACAAGTAAATAAGAAAGATATTGTTCGGAAAATAAAATGATGATACGTTTGTGTTGCACTAGCAACAGATCGTGTAATAATATTTACACTTCATGTACTGAAGATTGGCAAATTTTAAACGGCGGATACTGGAAATATATAGGAAGTGTAATTAACGCTTTGCGATCACTAATTCTGTTCAGCGAGAATCAAATGTGTGCAAGGAACTCTTAATACCAATCTCATCGACTTTTCCCAGAAATTTCTGAAGTTCTTCTTCCTTTCCAGTCGCATCCTCCATTTTAAGTGACGGACGCCTACGAATAATAATCGACTACATGACATCTTCGTTAGAAGTTCGGATTTCTCGGTAGATCTCCGTAAAGCCCTCGTATCACCGAAGGTCATTCTTTCGTTCTTGTTATGATTTTCGCATGCAGAGTTCGAAGAAAGTGAATTTCCACGATGTTTATATTTGTTTACTGAGTAATTTTTTGTACTTTGAACCACTCATGATTGATTCTGAACGGGCAAAAGCCCAAAAAGAAGGCTCCCTTTGATGGTTTCTCCGTCGCAGACGTGAGAGGAACTACAGCCTACAAATTTCCAGACTGCACCAATTTTGAGCAAAATTGACTCTGAAATGGCTAAGAACGCTTATCATTGTCTGGTCCCTAGCTTACAATCTCGTCAGCTTGGAATCCTCTCTCCGCGGAATTTCTCCAGGGACACTTCAGGTTCTTGTGGACTTGTGAAAAGACTCACACTACACGACAAACTTGTTCACCACGATGGATGTGTGAATACGCTACATTTCAACATGTCCGGGGACCTTCTAGCTTCTGGAAGTGATGACTTAGAAATCGTCATATGGGATTGGGCTAAAGGCAAGAAAAAGATAGCTTACCAAAGTGGACACTCGAGCAATGTCTTTCAGGTGAAATAAGCTGAGAATTGCACACCGAGAAAAAATAAAAGAAACACAATTCTTAACGCTTGTTTACATCAATCTTGGAAAATATGTTATCATACTTATGTAAGGCTTTCAGTTAAATACTTTTTTGTTTTTTAGGCCAAGTTTATGCCATACACTGGTGATAGTACAATAGTAAGCTGTGCTAGAGACGGGAAGGTAAATTAAAATTGCATTTGCTCTTCATTGTTGAGACAGTCATCATATTAATCCTACGTGTGATTATCAAATGGAATGAGTCAGCTGATCAATATTCCTGCATGCATGCTTATTTTGCTAATATTCCACTAAAACTGATTACTGGCCTTTCTGGTTACCCATACAAACTTTAGATGGCACCTGAAACTCACAGGTAAGATCAGGAGGCAAACTGGCCCATGAATTCTGCCAATTAACTCAATACTGATGGTATTGTATTTTACGGGTTTGCTTGTGACAAGTTACGTTTGGTCAAAGCTACTAAATGACCAGTTTGGGTTGAAACAGTTATTGCTGTTTCAGTAAGATCTTATGTAAGAACTGACCTTGGAAATCTATCTTAAAGGTTACAATTTTTAACAGCTGTGAGAAATAGCTAACAAAATTCTATGACTATATAAATATGGTGTCTCACAGAAATCCTGAAATATCTGTTAGTTCTTAAGCAGCACTTGACCCTTTAACTCCCAAGATCTAATTGTTAATTCTCCCCTCTAGCTGTTACACATTTCCTTGTAAATAAGCTGCAAGAATTTGGTGTTAGATCAAGATGATAATTTCTATTTGAGTGACACTATGCAAACAACCCCTTTTTCTTGCTGGTTTTTTTTTTCACTTTTTTTTAGTTGTATTTATTTGTGAAATTAAGTGGTTAAGAGATATCTACATGCATTTAAGATTTTTAGTTTATGAGTTGAAACAGTATCTGTATATTATGTTATTGGTTGATTTTAGGTACGCGTTGGTTTCCTCCATTCCTCGAGTGATGTTTGTAAGAATACCAAATGTCTTGCACAACACAAAGGAGCGGCACACAAGGTAGAGAAACTTTTTCACCAATTTCAATTCTTTTGTTTGTATAAATATGTACTGTAAGAGAGAACTCGTACAGGTGCAAAGTGGAGGCAAGTAGGCAAAATGAAAATGGCACTTGATATGTTTTGAGTGGAAGAAAAATTGTCAATGAAATATGAAGGATGTGGAAGAGCATATTGAAAGAAAAACTGCAAATCCTCTCCCCCCCTCTTCCTTTTCTCAATTGATATTTGTTATAGTGAAAGGAAGTTGTGTGAAGTTGATATAGTGACTCAATTTGTGTTATTACTAAAAGTTCCTTTCACTTATTCTAAAGCATTCTTATTTTTTAAAATTTTAGCTTTGCATAGAGCCAGGATCACCATGTGAATTTCTGACATGCGGAGAGGATGGAGTTATTTTCCATGCTGATCTCCGAGAAGATAAAGCTCACAAGTGAGATATTTAAGTTTATGTATATCAATTAATTCTGTTTTATACTTCCGAGTTGAAAATGTTTGCCTTTTAATTTACAATTGAAAACAATTCTTCTTCTCAGACTGTTTTGCTGTCGTGTTGAGGAGCACCGAAGAGTTCCTCTGTACACAATCTTTATCAATCCTCTGAACAACTATGAGTTTGCTGTGGGTGGCAGGGATCAATTTGCAAGGTGAACCAATGTTGTTGCCATGAAGGCATTCCAAAATTCCTTTTTCAAGAGAGGGTTGGGGAACCACTCTTGATTGTCCAAAAAGATTCAAATTAGTTGCTCCAAGGTATAATAAATAGGTTGAAACAGAATTTATGGTGGAATTGGCTCATGCGTTGACAGCCTTTCCTTGCTACCATGGGTATGTTTTAAAAGCCATGCCTATATATCAAGGTGGAGCTTAAGGGTATTCTTTTCACAGGAGAGATAAGTGGAAAGAAGAACTGTTCAGGGTTTTCAAGAAATATTTTAGCAGACTGAATAAATACAGTCTTATCTGTACTGAATGGTCACCTGCAGGAATTGGGGGGGTCACTTAATTTATGCCATATTTGACCACTAAATGTAATAACATTCGCTCAAAAATACTATTAACATTAAGTTTCTGAGAAAAACATGAATCAATCTTTACTTGAAAGGTTATTCAAATTTTGCTCTAGTGGGTCTGATTTATATGACCATTCAATACAGGTGGGGAAAATACAAACAGGCCATAAAGACTCACTCAAAGGTCATCACTCAGTAGAGGTGAAAATTACAGTGGCTGAGAGGAAACAAATTCGGGTTTTTGACAACCATTGGCTTAATACAGAGTGATCACTTAATACAGTGCTGCTTAATACAGATTTGATTGAATAGCTTATGCAATTGAAATTTAGCCAGAGCATTCTCTAATGCCTGACAAACTCCCTGACTGCCATGTCATCTTGAGAACATAGTCTTATGAGAGATTCTAACCAACATTCACAGCACTATTAAAACCTTGAATATTTTAAATGTCCTTACTATTTTTTTTATTGCATTTGCAGAATTTATGACAGAAGAAAACTCCCAGATGTAAGGAAATATAAATTATATTTCTGGTTGTCATGAAAATATTAACCAATTATTCTTGGCTTAGGACATTTACTTTTTTAATGTTTGTTTTGAACAGGACAGTAAAGCTTCAGTGGAGCCTGTGAAACAATACTGTCCCCATCATCTGGTAAGTAGTCAAATTAAGCATAAAGAACTTGTTGGCATTCAGAGAACTTACGGGCAGAACTGTTGTATATGTCTGCTTTGTCATCAAAAGGTCATAAATCATTTTTCTCCTTAGATGGGAAGTAATGACATCTTTGCCAACATCACTTGCTTGGTTTATTCATATGATGGGACAGGTTTGTTCCTGCTGTTGTTGTTATTTGTGAGCACATAATTATGAATGATATATATAGTTGTTCATGTTATCAGATGTTTATTGGAAGCATGACTGATTGTTTTTCATCTTGCTGCAGAACTGCTTGTTAGTTACAATGATGAGAACATTTACCTGTTTGATTCATACTCAAGGTACAACATTATTTATTTTATATGTGATTTCTCCAGTAAAAGATTTTATTTATTTGATTTCAATTTTTGCAGTTAAAAAGTTCTTGAGCTGTATTATGTTAATTGGAAATGTTATGTGTGCTGTAACCACAGCTGAGGTCACAAAGTCTTTTTTTCAGTTTTATTCTCTTTTTTTGTTTCCATAGTTCTGAAGCAGAATACATTAAAACTTACAAAGGGCACAGAAACAATGCTACAGGTATCAGATGATCAACCATACTCAACAGTTAGATCAATCAACTATCATAGAAAGTAAAAGCAATAAATATATCAGTCATTAAAACTTGACAACAAGTTCATGTTTTTATTTCTTGTTGTTTATAAGTGCACACTGCAGGACTATTCCCTCTCTTGACAGATGGCATGTTGGCTAGCCAATCAGTTTGCAGTAAATGTGATGGAATGCCAGGAGATAAATAGTTAAACTGATAGAAACAACAACTTTCCATGATGACTGTCATCCCTCTAGATTCAAAGAAGAAGTTTTTGTGTTCTTTCTAGGTGTGATACTCTTCTTTCCTTTTTTATTTTTAGTTAAGGGGGTAAACTTTTATGGTCCACAAAGTGAGTACATTGTTAGTGGAAGTGACTGTGGCCACATTTTCCTGTGGGACAAAGAAACTGAGGAAGTGGTACAATTCCTTGAGGGAGATAACACTGGTGTGGTAAGGGGTTTAACTACTACTAGATAAGACAATGTAGACTGCACATGCAAGTCAGGAAAGTAAATTGATATATGGTGACAGATCTTAAAATTCTGTTTGATTTTTTTGTTCAGTGTATGAAACCAAACTATGATTCAAGTCACTTTTTACAGGTGAACTGTTTAGAGCCACATCCTTTTGCTCCAATTCTGGCTACAAGTGGCCTTGACCACGATGTTAAGATTTGGCTGCCAACAGCAGAAGAACCAACAAGCTTAGATGGACTAAAGAATGTGAGTAGCATCATAGTCAATCATAGCTTTGCAGCTTCTATTTTAACCTGACCAATAAAATTTATTAACTTATGATTTGTTATCCTAGGTGATTAAGGAAAATGACAAAGACAGAGAAGAAGAAAGACTTCGGCCTCATGATCCAATCAGTGAACACCTTTTATGGCTTATGATGCATCACATCAGAAGAAGCCAGGTCTGTACCTTTTGTATTTCTGTTAATCCACAAACAATTTTTGAAGGAAAAATACACTGAACATATTAGTAGTGTGTTAAGAAAAAAATCCACAGGTCCTCTTCTAATACTCCCTTAAAAAATTTTCCTTTACAGACCTGCTTTGTAAATCTTTGAAAATTATTGTGGGGATCCATTCTTTCCAGAACCTTCCCATTAGATTTTCTTCTACGGCATAGATTCCCAGCAGCTATTGCCCTCACAGATCCTCACACAAAGAATACACAAACCAGTCATGTGGATGGTTGATATTTATTTCCTTTGCCTTTCCCTTAAAGAATCGAGGTGAAGGTGGGGAGCAAGGCAGTGATAGTGAGACTGCTAGTGATGATGATGACGATGATGAAGATGGTGAATTGGGGAACCGAGTGCAGTGCAGTCCGTCATGAATGGACATTTTATAATACATCAGATATGTAGTAAAATATAAATATGGACAAAGAAAAATTTGTGTTAAGTTTAGGCTTGTCTTGTGTAGAAATGTGAATGTGTTAGTGTAGAATAAATGCTTTTCATTCGTGTAAAATGTTGATGTGTCATGTAAGGTATGCCAAATAACATTACATCATCTGATCACTTTTCTTTAAAAGGTTTGAAGAGTTTTGGTTCTAAAATCAGTTCTGTTTGTTCTAAGTTTGTGAATATGTGTTCTGGTTTCAAAGAGATTGTTTGTGAATGGTTTCAAAAGGATTGCCCTTTTTTCTTCTTCTTTTTTTTTTCTTATTCTGAATGTTCCATCAACCAAACTATGTATAAGGTGCAAAGCCTTTCAACCAACTGATTTAACTCTCTACAAAGAGTATATTTTTTGTTACATGTGAACATCCATACAATTTTGCAGACATAAAAGTAACTAAGTATTAATAAAGGTAGACATGCCTATTACTTGGTAACTATTTTTAATTTTTTTGGACAATTTTTTATTTTCAATTTATTGTAATTATTCATCAGAAGTCAGGAGTTCATTGGCAGAAGTCTGTGAGATGTCCAAGAAATACTTTTCAGTGGTAGTCTCTACACTCAGCAGAAAAAATTAATCCCAATGTTCATATACTACCTGAACTGTTTTTGTTCCAGTGGGTTTTTCTCTATAACTATTTATTAATTTGGTTTTTTGTTAAATTGCTCACCAATCAGTTCAGTGTTACTCAGTTGGTAGATCATCTGACTGTGAAATCAGAATGTTGCTGCATAATTTTTTCTTAGGCCAGCTCTCATTACAAATGTTTGAAGTGTTTCTTCTTTCTTTAGAACTACATTTCACTTTAAATTTGAAATGTAATAACATTTTGGTGCACTATTCTTGTTAACATGGCGATGGTTGATGAGGAAATTCTAACTAATTATGGTCAACAAAGTGTTCAAACATGTCTTGTTACAAATTTAAAGTGGTTTTCCAGTTTGTAAAAAGACATCTAAGCAACAAATCAGTTCTTTGTTCAGATTATAAACTTGAAGCTGACTTGTCAATCCAGCTTTATCTTCAGGCTGAGAAAGGACTAACCATAAGTTGAATTTTTTCAGGAAAAATGAAAATCCAGGTTTTGTACTTACCTCAGGTATGATTAACAATTGAATGTCGGTGTTTTTGTCAGTACTAACCAGCCCAAATTTCTTTCTTTAAAAACTTTGTTCAGCTTGATGGTAAACCTTTGTATATTGAAGATTTCTTGGATGCAAATCATGTTGATTGTTTTCAAAATTTGCATCAAGTTTGTAGAAACATGTTGTAGCATAAATTAAGTGCCCAGCACTGAAAGTAAAATTAAATATTAAGAGGGTGCTGTATGGATTTTTCATTCATTTATTGCAGATCAGATTTAGTGATTTAGCTTCTTAGAGAACTGTACCTCTACCTCTCTTATCTTGGCTTGGCTTTAGGCATTGTTCAAGGCCAGAGATCATTTTCTTACCTGAAAAGACTGGCATGCCTGTCTGAGTCTCTAGAAAGGACTGCCTCTTATGACAAGATGTTGACATTTTTCGGTCAAAAGATCATGATAATCAGACATGGTTTGATGCTACTATGGTTTAAAGATTTGATAAATGTTACTGAGAAGTTACAATTCATAGACCCAATGTCTGGACACTCCTGTCTTGTGCCTTTGTCAGGGGTGGTCTAATCACTACAGCCAGAGGTCCTTATTTTTTGCAGCTATTAGATTACCCTTGATGAAGGAACTAGATTGGAGTGTCAAAACGATGAGTCTATAAATTGTAATTTCTCGGTTACATTCATTAAATCTTTAAACCAGAGTAGCATCAAACCATGTCCGGTTGTCCACCTGTTTGCCTGGTGAACTTTGATATGTCAGATCATGATGGCATTCAAAATAAAATTTCTTGGGGCTCAGTTGATGAAAAATGCAGCAGTTTCATAACCCTCCATTTGTGTTACCTACAGACCAAAACTATCAATTCCTTTATCAAAATCACTCTCTTAAGTTTTTTATACCCCTCACCCCCACCCCTCCCTCACCCCCGCCTTGTCCGTTTTGTCATATAGTCGCCCATAATTGCGACTCGACCAACCACTGACCATTAACAGGCATCAAAGATCTCTCGAGTTATCGTATATGAAGTAGTATAAAGTGCCTTTTCAGATAGAGCTTCCCTGGGAACGAGAGATGGCGCTTTCCCTTTAACTTTTCCCTTCAGTGTGAATGTTTCATTTTTTTTCAGTGGATTTTTAGAGTAGATACTCGGTCATCTATGGCTGGCTATATCGAACGCGATGAATGCTGTCTGTTTGTTGGAAACCTTGACTCACGAGTCACAGAGGAAATACTATGGGAACTCTTCTTGCAGGTGAGAATCTATTACCAGCCTGGCTCTGGTCTAACGACAGTCAGCGAAGAGGGCTCCGTTAAAATAATTTTTCTGCTTCACCTATGATAACCCTGTCTCGAAGTACCTGCAATGAAGGATTTTACGACCATTATAACTCGGGTTTTGTTACGAGGACTTATAAATCTTTGTCATGGTGACGTCTTAATCTATCGCCACATGTGATATCTCAAATTATTATTGTTATGGTCATATACCAAAACCCGAAATAACAGATCGAAACCAGCGAAAATATAATTAGCATACACATTTCATTTCGTGAGATGGTTGATTATACATGGGACCAGGGAGAGTAAGATTTCAGGGGGAGGTGGAGGTTCCATTCGATTCTCGTATTTCATGTATGTGACATGTTGTCGTTTCGCCTTATTTAAGACATTTATGCCTTGTTTTAGATGGTTTTAGAAAGTTTGAGAGTGGCTGTAGATGTTTTTGAGGTGGTTGTAGGTCGTTTTTGAAACTTTTGAGGTGGTTGTAGATGGTTGTAGGTGGTTTTCGGTCGTTCTATGTGTTAGTACTTATCTTGTGGGTAGAGCTGACAGAGGCTGATCCATTGCAGTCTTATTCTCTGGACCTATTAGGTGATGGGTTCTGTTCCTATTTATCTGTGCTGCTCATTGTTGGAGAAGGTTTAAGTCAAAAGATGCAGAGAATTATTCACAGACATCTGTTCTGGAAGACTGCTAGCTTGTGTCTGATGGTCGTCATCTTTCAGGATTTTGCTCTATAAGAGAGCCTCTTGAAGTAATGTGAGGAAAACTGTAAAAACTAACCTCTCCACCACTAACCCAAAAAAAATCAGAGACCTTAGGGCTCCAACACATACTTAAAAACACCAGGCAAAACGTGAACATGGTCCCAAGAGAAACTAGTAGTAATACCAAGACATTATCAGTGGTTCACTGTTTTATTGCTGAGTTTTTCTCTCTCCACTTGCTATCAGCATTAGCCAAAATGCCATCAGTGTTCTTTCTTGATGAATTCAGTTGCTAACATGTTTCAGTCTCTGTGAGACAGTCTTACTGTGACTTAGTGTTTAGGGCCTGAATATCTGACTCAGAATAGGAGAAATTGTGTGAGAGTTTTGGGGCTATTTGAGAATCAGACCTTATGCCCTGAATGCAAGGAAATATCTCGAGGGAAGGCTATATTTTCCTGGACATTCCATCCTTCACTTGCTCAGCATAATCTTATCTTGGTCAGTTTGCTTGTGGGCACAAACCTTCCCCCATTTTAGTGATTTTCTTTTGTTTTTCAGGGTTTGGTACATGTTAATGTTGCCACATAGATCAGGTTCCTTTTGTGTGTTATATGACTTGACTTGTTCATCTGTTTACAAAATCTTTTATCCCTTGATCAGTTATTTATCAGTTGAAAATATGACTTTTCTCTTATATTTAGGCTGCTCCTTTAAATGCTGTCCATATTCCTAAAGATAAAGAAACAGGAAGAAATAAAACCTTTGGTTTTGTCAGTTTATCAGATGTAGTCTCTGTACCCTTCACCATCAGTCTGTTGAATGGTATCACATTATATGGCAAACCAATAACAGTTAAACAAGCTCAAGGGAATACAAACTCTCCATTAAATCAAAGTGTATCAAATTCTGGTTATGGAATTTTGCCACCTAGAATGTCTCCATTTGAAAATCAAAATGGACAACTGAACATGTTTTCAAGATCAGGAAGTCAAAGTCCAATGTCAGATCTTTCACCATTCAATAGACAGCCATTTTTTGACCATCATAACAGACAGATGAGTGCGCAGTCCAGTCCAATTCCTTTGATATCATCACCTTCTCCTGTCAGAAGTGATATTGAAAGTAATTCCATGAATTCTTATACCCAGCCAAGAGGTCCATGGGATATGATGTCCCCATGGCAACAGAATGCAACAAGAAATCAAAACTTTGGAAACTATGGATACCATTCAACTCCTTCACAAGGCTCAGCTTACAGCCAGGGAACACCCCACGCACAAGGACGATGGAGAAGATGATAAGTAGAGAGAGATAGTCTAGTGTGAGAATTCAAATTCAACATTTTTTTTATTTCCATGGAACTGATAATAATTTTAAACCATCAATCACTTGTGCATTTAACATTTCTGAGGAAAATCGTATAAAATTCATTCTGTGTAGGAAAGTGTCAAGCCAGCAGGCCCTAACCCCAGGAATGGCTGGCAGTATGACCAGTTTAACGCTTTAACTTCCATAAGTGACCAAGACGGAATTTCTCCTTGAAAAATCAATACACATTCTAGCAGAGAAGTGACGAAAATAAAGAAAAATAACCATTAGGGGATTACTAGTTGATCAAATACCAAATTCTTCAAACTAACATAAGAATCGATCGCTCTGACGAAGGGCTAGTGCTCGAAACGTCAGCCTTTTCAACTCTTTGTGGTGGCTAATTTACATTTTCAACTCAGTTATACTCTCCCGCCAACGCAGCACTACAGTTTCTTTAGAAAATCACACCCTTTAACATTAGAATTGTCAGACAGTAACTAGAATTATTGCTGAGATCTAAGGAGTGAAAGGTTTAAAAAAAAACCCTCTTGTCAGCCCTGACAGACTAAACAGCTAGGGCCTGTTTACATGGAGGTGGGGGCGCCTAGCCGTGGTCGAAAAATAAAACGCGTTTACATGCAATCTTACAACCCCGGGGTGCAGGGGTGTTGTTGCGCTTGCAATTAAGGAGTTTGAGCAGAGGCGTCCCAAGCTCACATCTCGAAAAAGACGAAAGATTAATTCTCGGACACATATGTATTTATTCATGAAAGCGTCACGCGTTGTGTTACGCGGTGTTTGGTTTCGCGAGAAACCGTTGACTTAATAAGTTATACGGAATAGTTTGGGAAGCCAAATATGGTCGATTTACAACGCTAAATATTCCGAAACGTGAACATTTTACACTCCTTGCGGTTTCTGGTGATTTCTGCCGTGAGACGGCTAGGCGGGTTATCCCACCTTGACACGTTTACATGGCAAATTGTCATCCCGGCTGAGAGGGTTACCCTACCTGGCACACCGGGTAACCCGCCTAGGCGGGTCACCCCCCCATCATGTAAACGTGATCAAAATAAAATTAGAAATTATATGGATAGGCGAGTTACCTCACCTACCCGGGGTCCCCTACCTCCATGTAAACAGGCCCTTAGTTTTGTTGATAAGAAATCCAAACACCCACACTTTTTTGGTAATATTCAGGACACTGGAGAAAATTTGGCGAACCAGATTAGTTGTTTTTATTCTATTGATATTGATGAGCTACTCGTAATAATCTAATCCCTTGGTGACTAATAGAGAAATTATCAACCAAAATTTTTTATCTCAATTGTACCAAAAAAAAAAAGTATTTAAGACTAAGGTGCCTTCTGAAGGAGTGACCACTGCAACTTACATTGTTTTCTGCCGGTGTATGTAGCCAGGGACATCAAACCATCAAGATTGTCTGTGCTCGGATCATTGCATAAGAGCTCCCTAGCGCTCCTATTTGGCCGAGAAGCAAGAGAGAGCTAGAAAACTAATAATTAACTAATTTTTCTTTCCCTACGTCGCATCCCCTCGTGAGATGGAAAAATTTGGCGATGAGTCACTCATTTTCTCTTTTCAATTACAATAAAATTACCAGGTGAGTGAAATGTTTTGAAGTAGCTTCGTAGTTGAGCTCTATCTCAGGAGCGGTGAAGGTGCGCACTTTTAAAACTTAAGTAAAACAAAGTCCTCTCAAACCTAAGGTTTATTTAGAATTGCTGCGCACCAATAATATTAGCTTAGCGAATACGTGGGTCTGTCTCTAAATTAAAATTCAAAACAGTTTGTTGAATGACAGCAAAGTCACGATTTTAATGTTCTGAGCCTGAATTAGAAATGAGCTCAGTGCCGTGAAGCGAAAGCTGTATTTCCTTTCCCTCCTAACAATGCTGAAGCACTTTCCGCAAAGTTTTATAGGCGGAACAATGCCTTATCACTGCTGTTAGTTGGCCCTGACGAGTGAAATACAATTGTGCGACTTTTGAGGCATCCCCCCGAATGCAAGGTACATTTACTTAAAGGTGTTTGAAATTTTCCCATTTTATAGGTTAAAGTGAGTTTAACCATAGCGCTTATGGCAAAGGCAAACAGCGCAAATAAACATTTAACGAACACGCTTAAGATGTTTTAATCGATGCCAATGAAAAGTTCTGAAAAGTCCCCTATTCGCAGTTCAAGAAAATATTTAACTCAAGTGTTAAACAACCGAAAGCTAACAAGGAAAGTGAAACCTTTGCTATTTGCCGTGGTTTTTATTCCCAAGATTTCTATTCATGTAAAATATATATTTAATTTACAACTTAGCTCTCGTCATCGACTTGTCTTTTTCCTCTATATTTTAATTAAATATTCAACCAGTTGTTGTTAAATTGCAGAGTAGAATAATTTAATACAGAGTTCATAATTTTATTCTTCTTTTGTTTGAACTGATCACCCGAATTTATAGGATAATCTGCCAAACTTAGTGTCTTATCTTTCTAAAGAAAATTTAAGCCTTCTGTTGAGGATATGTTTGAGTATTACCTGATGCTCAGAGGATAAAATTCTTACAAATTGTCTCTACCCGTGCCTTGTTCATTTTACGTTGAATATCAATTTGATTACAGCTCTAATAATATACACGAATTATTTTCTTCAGTTTGATTGCCTGCCCGAGAGAATTGTGGTTTTTGCTGAATGTGATGCAAAAGAGAAATAATATAGTGCAGAAATAGTTGATTCATTGCAAGAATTCGTAACAGGCCATTTGGCTAGGCTTTTTAGCGGCATGAAAAAATATTGACTTTTCTAATGCAGTTTGGAATACATAAATACATGTAAGACTACAAGCTGCATTCGTCTAATGAGCTTCAGCAATTTTGTGGCGCCTTGAAAAATAACGTGCTTATTTTTACCAAGTGGTACTCAAAATCCTGTGATCACCTGTAGAAGTTTGTGATTCATTCGCCCTCAGTCCACTGCTGTGCTCTCCGTCAGTCAACTTTTTACCTGTGAAATTGTGTCCCTTTTATTCTTGATCATTGTTTAAACGGCCCAAAAACGTGTATTTTTGCTATCATGTCATAATTTACGCCGGTATTAAGAAACAAAACTGCTCACAAGACATAAAGAGTTAAATCATATGATTAAAAGAACAATAGATTGCAACGTTCAACTCTAGGTGATTAAAATACGTAAGAAATTAAAAATAAAAGAAAAATAAAAATAAGTAATGATCGTAAATAATAAGTAAAAAAGAAAGAAGGAAATAAAGAAAAAGTATAAAAGACCACAAAGGGATAAGATTATCCACAATCAGACTTCTTTCGATTGTGGCCAGACGACCCAGGACAGACTCTCGTCTCCTAGGGTGCCTTGGGTTTGCACAAGATAAAGCTTGATCACTGAAATGTCCCTTCACTGAGAAAAAAAATGATGAACTAAAGAACAATTAAGTCTCTTCTCGCATTTTGAAAACTGCTCACACGATCTCAAGTTGGTCTTGAAAAATATAGTATGTCTCGAATCCACCTTCCAGTCCTTCGATAATTTTGACCCAGGTAACGTTTTGCTGCATTATTTATTCTTCTCGAAAAACTGGTCTGGGCCGGCAAGGTTTGACAGATAACCTGTGATCCACTCCGGAAGTTAATTGTTTACAGGATATTTTTAATAGTGACTAATATTTTTGATGTTGACGGGCTTTATTTAATCTTGAGGTTTTTCCGGTTTGATAAGCTGCCTCTCCCTTCATTGAGACCATCTCGCTATCAAGAGGTCACGCAATTCAAAATGAAATAATAAAAGGAAGTTTTACTTGCTGTAATCCAAAAAGAAATCTGTATATTCATATAAACTTGATAATTGTTGGATCGTGTACGGCTAGTTTCTAGGCCCGTGTGAGTGAAAGTTGTAACTCATTGAGTTGCAATCGTACAAGTGGCCCTGGTGACTAAACCATTTTAACCCTTTCAAAAGCTTTTACTTTTTTCGTGGTTTTTTTCTTTTCTAGTTTTGACAGTTTTTTGTTCCTCTTTACAATTCAGAATTCTCCATCACAAGAAACCGCATGCCGTTTTGTGAGACGATGACTAATGACACTTCAAGTTTCCTCCCCTTGTGCGGTTCATTGTTGTGTCTCTGACAGACAGCAGGCGTTAACAAAGCAATCCCAGCAATCGTTTGAATATTCAAGTCTCGTCGTTGGAATAGCTCTCCTTTTCACGCAATTAAGGTACGTTCAATTAATTGAATTACAGTAATTTCTGTTGATGTTTCATGTACAGTAAATCTTACTTTTGAAATGATCAGTTGTCGCGCTGAAAGGTTTCGAAAACACTGGCTCAGATCATGAAACATGCTTAGTAAATCGTATCATGCGCTACAATCTTACATCTTATCAAGAAGCGTATGGTTTTTTGTTAAGAGACTCAGTTACCGAGTGAAACACATGGAGAAAAGTAAATGTGCTGGATAATATTCAGTGCTATTTGTCTAGGTGTAAAGACCGTGAAACCTTCATAGGCAAGATTATTAGCTTTACGGTTTAATAATTCAACTGAATAAGCGGCTAATCTCTCGTTTGTTTCCATCAACTTAACATTTTATTATTCTTTTATGACTTAAACCCAGATTGTTTTAATGAAAAGGCTCTGATCATGGAAATAATAACAAAACAAATAAGAAACCTAAGAGTAAATATTTTGAATACAATAGGCTCAAGTCAGACATAGCAGTTGGTGGTCCTTCACGCGAGGTGTCCCGAGATAACCTTTCTTGACCCGTGATCTCGAATGCTATTCGCGAGGCCTAAGTTGACAGTTAAAATAATTATTAGTAGCAGTTGATAGTCCTCCAAGCTAGGTGTCTCGAGATAACCTTTCTTGGCCCGTGATCCCGAATGCTACACGCGAGGCCTAGGTTGGCAGTTAAAATAAATATTAGTACCAGTTGGTGGTCCTCCACGCGAGGCGTCCCGAGATATCCTTTCTTGACCCGTGATCCCGAAAGCTACACGCGAGGCCCAGGTTGGCAATGATATTGCGTCTTCTTTTAAATCTAAATCTTTTTTATCATACCGTAAGAAGATTTAATCATTCTAAAAATGCGCTTTAGTTTTACACTACTCAAAATCCAGAGACCGCAAGAAATTTGCTCCCACTTTCGTTAACAGTGTTGGCAGTTTTCCTACTCGACCAGTTAGGAGCAAGAAAATATTCGCATGCTTTCACTGATCAGAATGACAAACATGTGATCACTATTCTAAGCACTTGGAAATGAAAAGACAACATAACTTTGGGCGGGCAGTGCTACTGTGCTGCGGGAGATGAGATGATTGACAGCTGCCAAGTAGAAGTAGCTACAGCCTAGCGTTCTTTGTTTCTTTATTTCGTGTCAGTAAACAATCATCAGTGCAGGATCAGGTGAAAACAATAGTATGGTCAGGGAAACAAATCTCTTTACCTTGAATCTGATCAGAATCTGTCAACACAGACTGTGTTGAAATTGAAACAGCACCGTTTTATTGCAGTCTTCCCACGTGAATTTAGGAAATCATCAACTATGATATGACTGATAGCAGGTAATTTAGTGTTAACAACTGGGTTGAAAACGTAAATTAGCCACCGTAAAGGGTAAAAAAGCTGACGTTTCGAGCGTTAGCCCTTCGTCAGAGCGATGGTATGATATGACTGAGCCGTGAGTGGGTGCAATACTTACACATTGTATTAAAATATAAAACAATATTAAGACTTAGTAATCAAATAACACATTTTCTTCTAATTTTTTTATTTAATGCAATGAAACATTTGTTGTTCTCTTCAGTTGAGTGCTGAAACGTTTTGCGATCTTTACGATATTAATGATTTCAAATTAGTCACTTCATGTTCTTATCTGTGTGTAGAAAGAAACAATGATATAGGAACTTATGACTTAATAATAGTTTTTGCTCCAGTGTAATCTTAAAAAACAAAATTAATGATCAAACTATGACCGTTCAATACAGAATTGCATCCATCTTCTTAGATGAAGATGTCAGCTCAAGGAATTTGTCGTCCGGCTCTTCTGCTGAAACTGGCAGCAACCTACAAAAACATGTGCTCGTGTCAAAAAAACTTTCACATTCTCTTTGACGTCCGTTTAATTTTCATTTTTAAGGTGAAATAGTTACAAAAAAACGATGTCAGATGTATTAGATGTTCATTTGTTCATGAGAACACATTTTTAAATCCAGTGGGCAGTAATTAAACACACGGTGAAATACTGATCGACAAGTATGTATTGCAGGCCTGAAAGGCAGTTGAGAAACAAAAATAGTTTATTGAATGAAATATTTATACCCTGGTTTTAGTTCGGTTTAAATTCATTTTTCTAATCATGTGGATTTCGACCTTCATTCCGCTTAAAGATTCATAAAGCGCATGTTTCGTGAAAATTCAACAGAGTAATGATAGTTCACTTGAAAGAGGTTTTTGTAACTCCTGGATATATCTATATATTTGTCTACTGCGTTCATTTGTCATATTTATGAGCTGTGTCTCGGCTGAATGAAATTGATATCACGCTGTGCACATTTCTTGATATATCTCTCCCGCCAGTGATTCTATATACTGCGTATTTTCTTTTTTAATGTTTTATTTGGCAAGTTATAGTTTCTTTTCGCTCATAATTCCTCGGCAGATACGACCTGCTTTTTTGAATTTTCGTTTCTGCTGGTTGGGCTGTTTGCAGCGTGGGTAAAACAGAGAAATGTCCTGTAACATTTGAGAACCACATGTGAAGTATATTTTTGAAATGAGTAATGTTGAAGGTGGTCAGTTTAAACCATATACATGTAGGCTAACCCTTGTCTTGTCCACATCGCTTTTGTTTCTGCAGGATTTTACTGAGATGACGAGATATTCTGTTCGTTTTGGGATCAAGGTAGGAATATATAAATATATTGTTTGATTCTCATTTCTTTAGCTGCTTTTTAATTCCAGTATTTCGTTTATGTAAAATGAGGCAAGTAAAAATAACCTTTTACGGGAGAATACGATCGCATCACTTTATGGATCTGTATAGCGAACAATTCTCAATTTTCACTTAGTGTGTGAATTTCTTTAAAGATTTTGCTGACGGTGTACAAATATTTCAAATCTCGAAATATTCACTATCATGTCATGATGAGAACAGCTGGTGATGATGAAAGTTTAAAAAATTATTGAGATAATGGAATGTGGGCTTCCCGGCTTCGGGACCAACTGATCTTCCGTTGGACCACGTGAGTCTCATACGAAACGAAGAACCCTATACAGAATCACAGTCCATTTTTTAGCAGATTAAGATTCTAGAGAGGTTAAAGAAAGCCAGAAAAAAAATTGTTATCACAACTCATGTTTCTTATACAAAAACTTGGGAAAACCTAAATTTTAAAAACACTTAATATGGCTTCACACTGTGATATTTGGGGGGCAAAGATATCAATTGGTTGAGCAGTAGTTGTGGGAAGCTAATGAGACCATGGAGGTTCATAGTCGGTTTTTTTTTCTAAATATGTTGTTTTATTGTGTTTGTGTTTGGTAGAAGATTGAAGAGTTAGTGAAAACCCACAAGTACTTGTGTATTTAGAATGTGAAGTATTTACTTGATCCTCTTATCTTTCTAAGAAGGATCACTCAAATCCTTTACTCTTCTGGACGGCGGGAAACTGAAATTAGAGTAAAAGGTTCAATGGTAATGACTACGTAAAGGCAAACTCTTCTAATAAAGAAATTTAGAATAACTGCGGAGAATTTAATTGCTATTGATCGTTTAATAATGATTACTAGGTTACGGTTTTAGAAGCAAAATGTCTATGCATTGACGTCATTTCCGGCTGATTTTGGTCAGTCTGGTTGAAATGGCTACATGACTGTCTTATATTATCTGTATCATATTGTCTATATTTTTCTATTTTCAAATGAGGGACGGAGACATGTAGCATTTTAATCATGTCTTTCTTTCCGTCAATTCAGATAATCCGAAATCTTCTTTGAAAGCGGCACAAAGATCACTGGATTCAAAAAGTTTGAAGAGTTTGTGAAAAACGGCAAAATTCTCCACTGTAATCCAATCTGTGTAAGTTCATCCTTGCTTTTTGCTTTGTTTTTATTTTTCAAATTGTTTTTCTTTGGAGTGGAGTCACCACAAACTTATCAAAACAAGAGCCAGCGAAAATTATCAGCTCGCTTGTAAACTCCACGCGCGTTCAGCGCGCGCGATTTTCGGGCGGCTGTGAACCGTCAACACCAAGTAACGGCGCAAATATGTTTTTAAAAAGATCTTTCAGATATAAAGAGAACCACTTTGAGAACCATTTAATTCACGAACTATGGTACCTAAAAATGAATATGATCTGCTGATTCACGAGACTCTCCCTCTTTTATAACTTGTCTCGTGCTTCTAGTTCTGTGCATGTGGTGTCACGTTTAACTGGCCTTCATGAACTTGTCCGCACGCTGTTCTGCCAATTCTTGTAAAGCGGGTGCGTGAGGCCAACGGAAGAGATTCCTGCTGGTAAAACTACACTGAACTGATTGAACTAACCACAATTATTTGGTCGGAGAAAGAGAACGACCGCCTCTGATACAGCAGTGAATAAAACGCCTGTGTGCAAGATGAAAAATACTTCTTAGAACCACAGACATTTTCCTGAGAGGCCAGGAAACAAAAACCTTATTATATCAATCACCTGAGGTAAAAGGATGCAAATGCGAAAAAAAAAATCTTTGGAATAAGTGTCAAGGGTAAACATTACTAATGTTCCTGTCATACCACAGGGCGTTAGAATGTAGTTTCCTTTGTTTCTCCAGAGGTGTAACCGAGGTGTAACGTCTCACACGTGTGAAATTTTTATCAGTCGTTACTTATTCTCTTTCTATTGTACGGAGACGCCGGTGTTTCTAAATCTGGAAGTTATTTTAATTGTGATACAGGGATTGATTTCATGTTTTCCTTTCAATTATTGTTGAAAGTTTGGCATTTTTTCCTAGAGTTAACGAAAGGTGTCTTTCCTTCCTGGGTTCGTAATATTGTTATTTAGACGTCTGACGTCACAAATTATGACATTAGTGGAGGGAAAGGAACTATTTGTGGTCACAAATATTTTTATAGAACGCAATCAGTGCTGATGATTCAAGACACTTTCGATCAGTAGTTGAAAAATTGATTTCCAATGCAAAATTCTATTTAATTTAAAGCAGATTATCTAAGTCAGCCACGATTTTTCAGATATTCTATATTTTAGATATGTTTTTAGTTATTAGCTTCAGAGCTTTAACCGATTGATTACAATTGCGGCACATTGCAATGGTAATTATTTCTCTTACATTATTAGTACAATGGTTTTCATCGGTCGCCGTCGCTTCCGGTTTTCTTTAACCTTAAAATTTGCACTATTACACACCATTATTTCTGCCTATATACTGTTCTAGGGCTTGAATAAAAAAATCTCTTGCCACCGATTGCTAATGTTCCACGAGTGTCCACGCAAAAACCACTTTACTCCGCGCAAAGTACGCGCACGTTTGATGCGGTTTGGTGTCAATTCATCAATTTACTTGTCAACTTGAAAATCAACTTGTGATCTGATTGGCTGTCGCCTGACACTTTTGCGTTTCCATTGTTATCTTAGTCCGTTCCATTTTGGTCAATTTATTGATTGAAAATGTCCATTTCGGTCGTGTATGTCCCATTAAGAGCGCCTTTGTTTCACTGTTGTTTTTACAAGAATGTGTGAAGGGATAGAGAAATATTGCCTCAGAGAATCAGCGGCTTGCGAAGGGAATTTCACTAGAATCGCGGCAGATTAACAACACGGATTTTTATGGTCTTATTCTTGTAGGTTTGATAGCGTCATGCTTTGGTGTTTCCTGTTGATCGGTTGCTTTTTCTTGATGTTTCAAAGAGGTAAGTTTGCAAAATATTCTTATAATTATCACACTTTTGCCGAATGGTCGCTGAAAATATCCAAGCATAAAACAAGCCAGCGATCTCCTGTATGCTCAGTATTACTGTTTGAAATCCGTAAACACAACAAACCAGTAATTTCAGCACGTATTGCGCTTGTATCAACGATGAACGATCCACTACACTCCAAGAACTTTACAATCTGGGGTCAGTGTTTAATGTGGATGATGTTTTTGTGCAGAATCGCAGCGATTTCAATCGCGGACATAACGTCATTCGGCAACAATTGTCGTCCAACCACGCACCATTTATTTCGATGGAAGATTTCTTAAATTCGCCGAACGCTCTAAACATTATCGCGGTAGTAATCTAAAGTTGTACTTTCGTCGCCCGTCATCCTAGAATATGAGAGCTCTTAAGATGATTGATTCTTGTAACCCCTGATTTGTTGCGAACTCTCTGCAGGCCTATAGATCGCTTGTAAATAACTCGAACGTTTGTTGCATCAGGGCCCGCTGAGTTAAATGGCGTCACCATCCTGACTCTTCCCTGTCCCGTAACTATAGTCACCCACACACAGCTGAGTAATTAAACAACGCTTTTCAACACGTGAAAGTCAGAGCTTTCCGTAATCAGTTCAAGAAGCGATCAAAGCGATTATTTGCGACATTGTTGATGGCATGTTTCAAACGATCGCATTTATAACCAGTCGTTCGCTGATTACTATGAAGTTAACATTGTTTATTTTCCTTCTTCCTCAAGGCTTGGCTCAGGGAAGTTCATCGAATACTGATCCGGGTGGGGGGAAAACTCCTCCATTAGAAATCGTGGTAAAGCTAGGATCGGACGCGATTTTACCGTGCGATGCTGTAGACGCAGATCGATCGCCGGACCTCATAGAATGGCGAAAGAACGGATCGAAAAGTCCAATTTTTATGAAGTTCATGAGCTTCAAACCTCACATTGATTCGCGCTATTCTCGCCGTGTTCACATGATCAATACTTCTGCAATTTTGCTTTCGGGAGCAAAGGATACTGATGCGGGAATATACCGGTGTAGAACGATGCAATCTGGATCTGAAAGTACGATCATAACTCATGGAAGATGGGTCGTTCTCAAAGTCATTGGTAAGTTGACCCACTTGTATTGTACAGGAGTAAAGTAATGTGTATGACGTCTTTGGGACGGGAGTGGATATTAGCGAACAGGTGCTTTACATTGTTCATCCGGTTGTAACGATACCTTATGATTTGGTTCTACCTTTATTTATCAGAAATCTTGTACGCTAAAATGTAATTGAACTGTCGACATTAATGTCAAGGAGCGTAGCTTGTCTCTTCTCAAACATGAGGATATTAATTCTCAGTAGAATTGTAACTTTATCGGTTTAAGTTCTGCGTGACACGCACAGGACACGTTTCCGATTCTTAGCAACCCGCTGAGCGAGACGTGCTTTGCTTAGAGGAGGAATCGTGCGGTGTCTTGTTCCGCCATTGTTTTGAATCTTTTTCTAGTAGTCACGTCATAAAATCCCTCACCAGGAGACTCTTTATTAGTGAACAGCTTAATTCGTCTCGCCAAGGTTTCTTTTCCTTCTAATGTTTGGATTTATTAATTTGAAGTCTCCATCAAGTAATGACGATTTCCCGAACCGCCTCACTACAAATTTCCGTCTGTTAATATGACAGTAATATCACAATGTTTCTTTGAAAACGCTTGGTGAATATATTCATGGTGGTTAAAATACCTGAGTGTCTTAAAAAAACTTTTGTTCGTGTAGCGCTCCCACCCAAAGGAAATGTCATTTCTACCCAAATAATTAAATTATCATTTTTCATTGAGGCGGCATAAAATAGCAGTGACATCAGGTTTTGATGTTAAAAACTCAGAGTTTTAAATCAGCGTGGAAGAAATCCTATTTTTTTTTTTTTTTTACCATATCCCGTTAGAAGAAACTCAAAACCTGTCTTCTGAGATTAAAACGGCTTTGAAACTTTACGTTTACGCGTCGGTTTGAATCTCTTTATACCAGTGTGAACAATTCGGAGTAAAAAGTTTCTATTGTAAAACTTTGAAGTTAAAAGACGCTTGAGTAACCAAGCGTTTCGACCCCCGACTGAACTAGAAAATTTCGTTGTAATTCATTAAACAGAATTTTTCTACGCCGTTTCCGCTGCAATTTTGAATAAGTAACCAGTACAGACGGTTTAATCTCAGATTCTAAGCTTCGTGTTTGTGAGCCGCCTTCCTAATCCCTACTGATTGAATGTGCATTGTGATTTTAGAACGCTGGGGTATTACGATATAAGGACATAATTGCTATGTTAGACCGACAAAGCCTTATAGTTTGGCCAGCAAAATACTCAACGTCTGTAAGAAATATTAAGAATTAAGTTTGAACTTTATCCGCTCTGCAGGTGACTTAGACAACTTTAAGGCAAGTTAGATTAAAACCATTCACGACTTAACTTTAAAATGGAGAGTACTATTAAACCCCTTTCCATAAGACTTTCTCACCCGCTTTGTGTGGAAAAGAATACAGCGAAAAGAATGTAACACAAGCCTTTGAGTCGGTTTTTTCGTAGAAGAACGTTGCAACTTTCTTTTCAGGTTAAAAAGTGGCTTGCTATCTCAAGTGAAGTTTGATTATTGAAAGTTAAGAACTACTCATAATAATTTCCAGTTTTATTCGAATGTATTTGAAAAAAGTTTTAATAACACTAAACTGCAAGCATTTTTCGTCACCTTTCTTTGAACTGTACAATTTCAGTTGGATATAAACTAACGTTACTTGCAGCCGACTCAATTCTAGTTCAACTGGTGTAAGAAATGAAAAACAACGAACAATGGCACTAAACTACAACTGGATTTATTCGGGGCAAAGTATTCTTTTTGACCGCAAGAAACAGACCGATTGCCAATCTATTGCCCTGCTTTAGAGAAAAACTTTCCCGTACTAGCAAATAGTGCGTGCAGTTTAATATCCTCTGTTTGAAAAGGTTTTACCAGTTATTGACCCAACTACCGACATTTTGACAGTAAATCTTTGCTTGTCACATCCGATGTTTTCCTTTCACTCCACAAGAAGTTACGTTGCGCCTTTGGAATTCATATTATCTCAATTAACTTTTCTTTATTCCATATTTCGTTTGGAAACGATTTTCACTTTGTTGTATTTACCTATGTGATGAGGTGAACACGGTCGACATCCAAAGCATATTTCGCGAAACTTTGTTCGTAAAAGCATTAACTTAGACTCAGGAAATGCAAGAGTTCATTTTCAAGATCTAATAACGTTTTTGTTTGTTCAAATAAAAGAGCAAACCGACTGACGTTTATTTCAAAAACATTGTAAGCCCCCTTGTAATTGCCATGGCAACAAAACGTGCTTGTGTGATTAAGGTGCCATGAGCTGTCAGCTTGGAGGAGAGAATTCACGGGTGGTCAGTTGATTTATCCTTTGAAAAGAAAGTCTTTTGAAAAACTGTCAGGTTAAAAATAATTTGGTCAATATATGAACACGCAAGGGAAAGGACAAGATTCACGATACGTAACTTTGCAATGCAGTGCACTGAGTTTCGGCCGAATGGACCCAACCGATCGGGAAATTTAATTATGGCTAAGATGTCCAAATTTAAATCATTGAATCCTTCTTTAAAGCCATGAACAAACAGAAGCATCGATCACTGCCGACACTGCACAGGAAACTAATAACAGTGGAGGTCTTGTCTTTTGTACAAGTTGGTATAGCTCTGAGATTTAGTTTACTTTCTTAAAGCTAAAATCTCTCTCGTTTGTCGAGTCTCCAAAACCAAATCTCGTCTGTTTTCATTTATTCTGAGACGGCACCTCGTTGTTTTGTAAACGTCCGTCTGAGGCAAACAATTCCCATGCCAAGATAAATAAACTTGTTTAGCATGTCAATTAGTTTACAATAAAAAAGCAAACAGTTCCGGGAGTACTGAAAATTAACCAGAGTTTCGGCATCACACAAATGCTTTAAATCATTATGTTGACTACATATGCGAAAACAAACAAATCTGACCTCAAACTTCCTAAGGCACCCGGGTTTCATAGTTGTTGACCAATTTTGTTCACGTTAAAAGTTCCGCTTTCCTATGTGGGTTAATGCTGTGACACATTTTAATCCCTAATACAGCGTGTGATCAATAACTTTAATTAACTTGGTAGTTGTAACGTAAAATTTTTGCCATTAGTGTTTTAAATCATCCTAATGTTTTTTTCCCCGTTATTCTTAAATTTAAAAGCCCTGTACTTATTTACCTCATTACCGTCTTATAACGATAACATAATCCTATATTTAAGCTGATAATTAACTAATTCATTCTTTAAGTCTTATGATAACCATTAATATTTCGGCTTTTCTCTCTTTCACGGTTTATCAGCCCCTTTGTCGGTCCCTCCTTTCTTCTTAAAGAAACCGCTGGACAAAATAACTGCTAACGAGAGCGATTCGTTGACTCTGCTCTGCTTGGTTGGGGGTACTCCGGAACCGGAAGTGGAGTGGTTTAAACACGGGGCACATATACCATTCGAACGCGCCTCTGTCTTCCCCGGAAGTCGGCTCACAGTGACAACTGTTGTGCCTGATGACAGCGGTCGATACCAGTGCTCATCGGCTAATTCTGTTGGGCAACTTCATCACGTGTTTGAAGTTACCATTAAGCGTAAGAACCGATTTTTTTGTCGTCTACAAATTCATCACAGCACTGTGTATATACCACCATCATTTGAACACCACCGCGAAACGTACTTCCTTCTAACTTTTGTTTATGTGTTGCTTGCATCGCTTTTGACAGTTCTAACTCTCCATATTGCTGAAAAGGGTATCTTAATTCATGAACAGATTTCTCAAAAGAACCCACGAAATTTTTCCCAGTTAGTCTTGCTTTTCATGAACAATGAAAAGAAAGAAAAACAAACTTAGAAATTGTGCTTAATTTGCTGACATTACTAACCCACGGTTCTCTTTCCTGCAGTTTGGGTAGTTCTTTGTATGTCTTCGCCTGTTACCTGACGCGTGTTGCACAATTCTTTCGAGCTTGTATTGTGTTTTATGTTGTTGCAATTTTATTACTCAGTCCTGGTCGTTAAAGTAACTTATCTAACTTTTGCCCTAACTTAAGTATAAATAATTTCTTGATAGCTAACGTGATATACTCAAGGAAATCTGAGAAGCTGTTTTATTTCGCTTCAACCTATTAAACTGAAGAGCTTCACACTATATTGATGTGAATTTGAAGAATGTTAAAAGGTTTTGTGGGATCGAAATGGTCAAAGTTGTACAATATTCAGAGATGTTGAAACAGATTTCTGACACGTGAGATATCGAAGACGTTCTTAGCTGGCACATAAACTATTTTCAGTCTCCTTGCCAATTAAGGAAAATTTTGTGCTTCCCTCACGAGACCTACACCGCCTCATCCGGTGTCTCAGTTACACTTCAGTAAACGATAATCTGCACCACTGCTTTGTCATACTTAGGTCTCGATTAAATCCGTCCAGAAGACAAGTGTCCTTTTTAAAACTTACTTTCTTCCTTCCTATTTTCGTTCCAGTTCATTCCGCTTCATGTAGGTTTGAGCACGTATTCTCGCGTGAGAACGAATTTTTGGTTACCAAACATTTAAATCACCCAGCTGATGATTAATAAGCGTATCATTGAAGTGGGGTTCACATAATTGTCGCTTTAAAAATGCAAATTTTAATATTGGCAAATGTTTACGATCCCAACACTTTAGGTTCAATTTTGTATTACTTTTCTTGTTATTAGGAACCTATTAAGTGTGGATAATTTAGTGCTCGGGTTCTATAAATTAGAGAAAAACAAAAAAACAAACATCCTGTCTCTCTACATATTTCATGCCTTCACCTCACCTAGGTATTGAGATTTTTTCATGGCAATATTCCATTTTTCCCAGGGGCCCTCTTACGAGTTCATAACAATCTTGGCGATATTTTATATCTTTTCCAATCATTCCTTTTTGGCTCCATTGCAATACCTTTCATGTTTTTAAACCAAATATTAGACTTGAGTTAACAACACGTACTTTTGTGGTGTGAGTCATTATTTTTACTCGCTCATCCTCTTCCGGCATTTCCTAAGATAGATTTGAGCGGAAATGCTGTAGATCCGTCAAAAGATAACCTAACCCACGCACTCAGGGCTTCCTACAAAGTGTTCAGCCTAGAAATTTGAAAACGATGCTCTGAATAGTGCTCTTACAGACTAAGTATCCTAAATGTGAATTTGTTGTGATTAATATCATTAACGAGTGAGTTGCCATTGGTTCGTCGAAAGGCTTAAGGGCAGATTTTATGGAAAGTTGTTGACATTTCTCCGATCAGACAACAGGAATCTTTTAGTGCAGTGTAACTCGATACACTTGGGGAAAGTGGGTTGTTTTACACGCAAAGCTTGCTGAACAGAAAACAACCCGATAAGTTCTCCTGCATGACTGGTTTTAAAGCGAAAGGAACAGACTGTGTTGGGATGCTTAATATCGTGTTGATAGTGGGGATGTGTAGCTCAGCAGTGCTAGCTCAAGGTATGATAATAATGCACGTTCAATGATCAACCACTGATGCACTCAGTAGCTGTCTTGATCCCTCAATGAGTTGCGTTGGTCGAGAGGTTACATGAGTTTCCGCGACTGAGGAGCGGAAGATCATCTTAGTATGGACCGATCAGAAGATATTTGAACATCATTGTGCGTTGAAATAGTAAGCGGGATCCTCTACCAAAGGAGACAGGAGTCTAAATGCAACAGCTCACCTGAAAACACTATATCTCTGGTAACACATCAAGCCTCAAGTGTTGTTGTCTACCCGCTAATCACAGGCTTATATGTAACATTGCCTTCTCGTCTATTGCTTTCGTTTGAGAATCTCCAGCTCCAATTCTGCTCATTCTGAACAAATTAGTCTTAAGGTAGCAAGTAGTCAGTTTCATAAATCTTTAATATTCTATATTTCTACGAGTTCTTGAATGGAACGTTCTGTTTCAAATAACTTTAAAAGGTTGATGAGAGGTCGCGTGCTGGAGATTTTAATCTCTGTTTGATACAGTTTCGTGTTACTGGTATCCGTCTGAAAGAGTCGTAGGCATTTTTGCCAAAATTTCCCATGTTCTCGTTATTTATCGTGAGCTGGACGGTAGTGAGCTTAGCATACCTTTCTAAAATTATGTGTTCAAAAGTTCCCACAAGTCTTGTGATTTATCGTTTCATCCAAGACGATCATTCACGAAAGCTAATTAAACACAGTCTGTTCTTTTGCTTCCCAGTAACCTGAAGTAACGTGATCCACGCTCTTATATTTTTTCATTCACGCTTTTCCATTCATACATGAATTGGTTGTTGACACTGCATGCCAAGGATGTCTTCACCAGCACACTTGAAAACATCCCGTTGTTACATAAAACACAATTTGATCTTGCTTTGCTTCCCTTCGCTGTTTATGTTTCAGGGAAAGTTGGTTTACCATCTCGTCGAAAAACAGTGGTTGAAAAATATCCAGCGGTCCTTGACTGTCTCACTGATACAAACCTGCCGAGTGAAAACGTCATATACAGTTGGACTAAAGATGGCGCGGATGCTGCATCAGACACACGGGCCACAGTCATTGCTTCCGGTGCCTTGTTTATCAAATCAACCCGCAAAACCGATTCCGGTGTGTACCAGTGCACTGCGAAAACATTTGACTCAAGTGGCCTGGTTACCTACCCTGGGGCCAAAATACTCTTGGATGTTCAATGTAAGCAATGGATGAAGTAACTTTGCTCACTTAATTTATTTTTTTTTATCAAGCAGCTGGTCTGGGTCTGTTTGTTGATTCAAGATGAATATTTGATTAACCAGATACTTTGATGACTTTCGATTTATCTCATTTATCTCAGATACCCCTACGATTGTCGAAATGCAGGACACCGTGGCAGTTCCCGAGGGCTCTGATGCCCGGTTGCCGTGTATCTCCGTTGGAAACCCGAGCACTTCTTTTACAAACTGGACGCGACTCGGTGAAGACCTGCGATCACGTTCAAGGTTTGCTGTGCTGGAAAAGGGTTCGTTACTGATACAAGATGTTCGACGCACAGACGCGGGGGAATACGCTTGCACTCCCTATAACAAAGTGGGGCCAGGAGAAACAAAAATAACAAGACTTGTCCTAAAAGGTAATAATTCCTACAAGTCGCTTTGACAACAAAGCTGCTCTCGCCCAGAATCTGATGTTTTTCCTGTCTCTATTTTATCGCAGTTGTTCCAAAGTTTATTGTTGCACCTCCAAGTATCATGACGCTCAGAGTGGATGATGACGTCACACTGGTCTGTGAAGCTACTTCTGATTCTACTCCCACGTTAAAATGGGAACGCGAAGGAGAACCTTTCCCAGAAGGCCGTACGGTCAGACAGGGGGGCAAGCTAGAGATAAAAGGCATCCAGAAAGATGATTATGGGGTGTACACGTGTATTGCTACATCAGCTGATGGACAGGCTAAACATTCCACAACTATAGCCGTCATTTGTAAGTCGCACACTGTAATTTGTCCAATGTTTGAGAAATAGATGCCTTAATCGCGTGAATTTGGTGTTATTTTACAGCCACTCCCAGCAAACCCACGATAATAAGCGTTCAATTCAACGACGCGACGGCCATGATAACATGGCGGCCTGGGTACGATGGTGGATATCCCCAGCAGCTGGAAGTCTGGCACCGACTTACCACTGATAATGATTATGAATGGCTCAAGTCACCTAATTTACCAGCTAGCGTGACGTCATACCAGATCTCAGACCTCCAGCCGGAGCATCCTTACTTATTCAGCATCAGAGGAATCAACCGAGAAGGGGCTGGGCACTTCAGTGATATTGTGGAAGCCAAAGGCGTTCCTCCGGTCATAAATCGAACGCCTGACAAACCAGGTAAGGTCACTAACCCAGTTTCTGTTAGACCATGTTCCACAGAATTCCTGCCAGTTGAAATGATACGCTGCAATTTGTAGTCGCTTGCTTCTTAAGGGGTACATTTGTTGTAAATTAAAATTTACATCTCGAGTGTAACTTACCCTTCTGTTTCTCCGTAATGACCTCATGATTTACAAATTTATTGACGAATTGCATTCATTGTATTTGTGCTAATTTGATGATTAAACTGCGGAACAATCTTATCAATCAAAATGTGTAATTTATTATTATTTTTCCAACAGGGAAACCTTTAGCTCCTCAGAATGTTGTTGTTAACATCACTAAGGATGGATACTGGGTCATATGGTCCTACTCAGCTGTACCTGGTCGGCCGATTGTGGAGAAGTTTGTCGTGGAGTACAGTGAAGGAAATGGATCATCCTCTTGGCGTATGGCAGATGCTGCTGTCCCAGCGGATCGCAGAAAGTACTTGTTCAACGCAGAAAAAATAGAAGCTGGAAAGAGCTACGACTTCCGGGTTTTTGCATTTGGTGCGAACGAGTTTAGTGAGGCTGCTTATGTGTCCAAGACTTATAAACTTGGTGAGCTCTAAATCATTATTTTGGCCATAAATCCTCACGAGAATGGCGAAGTAGAGTTCTCATTTTAAAACTACCATGTTCGGTAGCCATAAGAAGCCTGGGTGAAGATTTTACAGTGCAATCTTGAAGGTTAAACTTTTCAATTCTTTCGGTGATTGTAGATTTCCGACGCCTTTTCGCCGGGTCTGGGTCTGTGAAATTGTTTTTTATTTTTTCAGTCGTTTTTCTTATGAAGTTTGTTATCATCTGATGTTTTAGGTTCTCCAGTCATCGGCAAACGTTCCAGTGACGATGACGTTGTTCCCATCGTAGCTGGAGTCCTTGGAGCCATCGTTGGTCTTTTCCTTCTCGGCTTAGTTTGTTTCTGCTTCATTCACAGGAAGAAATCCAGAAAACTCCGTAAGTTGAATTCTAATGTCCTCTTCATTAAAAGGTGCAAGCCACAGCACACTTCATACACCAATCAGCTCTTTTCTTAATAAATAGTGAATGACGATTTAGCCTTCGGGGAAACTTGGTTTCTGATTGGCTGTGCTTGGTTATATGGTTCCAGAGTCTGAACCGCGAATCTGTAAGGCCGCTGAGCCCTGATTCACGCCTCATATTTATATTAGCGTCTAGAGGGTATTGTGGAGGATCTGCTATAAGGTTTTTAAATGATTCTTTTTGTAAAAAAAAGTCCGGTAAGGATTTAGACGTTTGTTAATTTCTCATTTCTCTTTCAGACATAAATAAATCCGGGGACAAGAAAGTTCATTTCATTCTTCCAAACAGGTACATTTCTACAAATTGTTTATTTACTGCTATGAATACAAACCCTATGGGACCGTGGCCTAAAAAAGATTATCAAGTAAATAGATAAATAAGAAGACGACTACATATCAAACTGTGGTCTGCTCCGGTTATTTTTATCTCAGTAGTCACGTAAAGGGGTTCCGTATTATGATTGGCTCATCAAGAGCTAGTTTATTAACTGCATCACATTGACAAAGAAAAATTTTAGAACTGCATTTTCCCATTTGAAAACTCTCGTTGTCGAACCGCAGTACTTTATCATTGAATTAGTCAGTACCCTTCTTTTCAAAAGCCCAACCGTTCACACAGCGCGTCTCTAAGTTACATTATTGTGACAAGTTGATCTCTTTGAATTTCTTGGCAAATTCTCATCGGCATAGTCTGGAGATAAAAATATAGATATTTGAAATTCGAAAGGCACTACAATAAATTTGATCTCAAGACAGTTGACGAAATTGGCGATTATTTTCCACGATCGCTATTTTTTTGTAGTTGAGGAAAGATTCGATATGTTGTAATTCTTGCCAATGCTAACGTACATTATTCACCTGTAAAACAATTATTGTGGCTGGTATGTAAATTAGACTCTATTCAATCGCTTTCACTCCTTTTTTATAATTAATGCCGACTAGAAAGTCATCTTTGTCAAATTTATGACAGGTGTCATTCACTTGATAGCTTTGTTGGTTTCCAAGCCAGGGACAGGCATGATAAATTTATTAAAACAGAAAGACGACCCAGTCATGCAATAATTATAACTATTTGAGGAGTTTCTGTTTCGGGATCGATTACTCGTTCAATTGTTAAATTTCGAAGAGTTTCTGAGGTCGTGATGGGAAATTTATTGAGGTAACTTAGTTAGATCATAATTCGCCTGTTTTTTTACTGTTTTGTTTTCTTGGCGTGAATTTCTGATCATATTAATTATAAAAACATTATAAAGTTAAGATTTGCGTTCTGTTGGTAGTGTCATTCTGTATTTTTCACTTAAGAACAAGAAAAAATATTTGTACCCAAGAACTCAATGAATTTCTGGTTGAATGAAGTGATAGCTGGACGCCATGTTCATCGTCAATTCTCAAAATTAATCCCCGATGCCTTTTTCTGTGTAATGACCCATTAGAGTAGAAAAGCGATTGTAATTTTGTTTTAAATTTACAAAGTATACCTGTAATAGTCTTTTCGGTGCCGGAATGATTTCTAGCAGTTTTATCTGTAGCCTTGCAACAATGCCTGAAATAATCTCGAAAAAGCCGACTGGATTCAATCTCTCCTATTAGTCTGACAGTCGTTTAGTTCACATCAGTGACAAGTTAATTTGTAAGTTTCATTCCAAACTCCTTAGTACAGCCAGTATGATGTTCACGATTGGACTGCCCTGGCTCATTTATATTCATCAAAGGGTTGATTATTCACCAAATTTCCGAACGAACGGAGGTTTCTTCTGTCACTTATTCATATTTTGAGATTATTACTCTTTTTCAGTATAAATGCTGAATTATGTTTTTTAAACTGTTAATTTTACGTTTTAGCCGAGAATCCATAGTGCAAACAATTTGCATGATACATGCAAAACCCAAAACCCACTCACCAATTGAACGATATGAGAAAGGGGATTTTTGAAGACTTTTATGTGAAGTGTTTGGTAACTTGATATGTTCTTTGAAGTTTTGTGATGTTATGTATATGAAAGGTTTTAAGATCTAACCGATGTAGTTAATATTTTATGACCTGTTTTATAATATCTTTACATTATTTTCAGTCCGTCAGAAACATTGTACTCCTTTTTTCTCTTCACAGCACAAGTGAAGCTTTTGAACCCGAAGATTCCGAGGACGACTTCCTTGACGCTGAAATTAAGTTGCGTCCCGAAACTGTCCGATTTATTCCCGATGATAACGAAGGAAGAGACGACGATAAATATGCAAAGATGAAACGAGAAGAAGACCTGATCTTATCGGGTCATGACGGTCGGTACAGCGGAGACATGTTACGTTATGCCAAGCTAGTAATGAGCGCATCACCGCCTCAATCACCAACAGCTTCTGAGGATTCGGAGAAAGTTCATTACTTCGGTGACTTGGAGACTCGGGACGGCCAGTCAGGCTGGTATGATTGTACCTTAGCAAAGCCCGCATCCCGCGAGGTACGGGATTCGTACGATCAATTCTGTAGGCAGCCCGACATAGGATCGCGGGATTCTATTCAAATATCTCCTCCCGGATTTGGACGAAAGGCTTCATATGAACAGTTAGGATCTAAGGCTCACGCTAGGCAGAAATTTGGTTCTAACAGCAGTTTACCAGAGAAGAAGTTAGAAGTTAGCATGTTCCGTAACCCGCGCTTTCAACCCATACAAGAAGAAATCCCGCGGGGCGGGGATATCCCTCGAGGTGGCGCACCACTTGGGAGAAGACAGCCCCATCATTGGTCGACTCCAGCAGTTTTCACCAGAAGACAAGATTCAAACAACAACAGCGATGGAAAGGGTTCGGATTCTGACTCGGGAGATTCCGTGGTACGAGGAAGAAAAGGGAGACGACACAGACCTCATTCGTTATACGAAGGAAAGCTTCGGCCGATTTCGGAACAGGATTCTGATTCAAAGCTCCGGTGCACGTGTGATGAAGAGGACGAATCGGATGAGGGGCTGAAGTATCCAAAGCAGAAAGGACGAGAGGTCAATAGCACGTCATCACTGGGAAGGAAACTCACTGAGCATGAGTCATCTTACCTTCATTTAGAAAGGTCTGACTCTCAGAGACTTTCCTTTACTGATCAGTTAAAAGGTTGGGGGGAATCTTTATTTGCTGGCGAACCTTACGACAAACACTCAAAGAAGGACAGACCCTCAGCAGCTCCAATCTATACGGACTCGGAAAATAGCGTGTCTCCGGCAATTTCTTTGGTGTCACTGTCGGAGACTGAAAGTGACCGTGAAATCGGCCAGAAGCTTTACGAAAGTCAGCCGAGTGGTGCAGCCAACAACCGTCAATCTGACGTAGTTACACTTCCACGCGCGGTAGCAAATCTAAAATCAGTTGATTCGGAGTCGTCTTCCGATGAACGTGGGAATTCAGGAAGTCGCGATAGATCAAAGAAACCTTCGCCGCCTGTTTATAAGGAGAAGAAGCCTCCCTCTGTTACAGATTTAAACATAAATCCCATTGAGCCAGCAAATTCAATGGACCAGCTTAAATTGTGTGATCCTTTCTTCCAGGAAAGACACAGAGTTTCTAGATCTTCTTCAAACGCGTCAAGTGGGATTTGCTCAGTGATTGTATCATCCAGCGAAACAAACAGCATTGAATCACCCAGAGATACTTCAAAACGATCATCCCGCTCAAGCGACCGAACTTCCACAGACCGAGCGTCGAGTGGTTACGCGTCTTCTCGGGATAGTTACGACAATCCTGATCGGATAAGACCTGAGGATTACTCAAAAGCGCACGCGCAAAGGCGTTTGAGAGGTAAGCGGCTTTCTCCACATGGAGATCCATATGAGTTGGATCCTTCATCGAGTGAAATGGAGGAGTTAGATACGGAAGGAGCATCATATGATCCAAAAGTCTACGAAGATCTTATGATGTTACAGCAAGAGATGGGTGTTAACTTGGACGGCAGTGATTCCAGTAGAGAAAGCCTCAAAGAAATGGAAAAACTGTCCAATACAGAACTTCTGAATTATTCCCCTGAACTGTCTCCAAAGAAATACAAAGTTGATCAGTTGAGCGACGCAGAGAAAGATCAGCGGTGTTCCAAGCTAATGGAGGAGTATAAGACCAACAAGAAACTGCAAAATGTTAGGGCCAGCGGCAGTCATGTGTATCGATCGTGGGATCTGTAACGGAACTGGAGGATTGAAATTCCTGACTGAGTTCACACTACACCTCTCCGAAAAAAAGGGTGTGATAAGATCTTTGTGTCTGGATGACGTTACGCGTGCCAGGTGAGGGTTTATCTCGAGTTTGGAGGCACGCGCCTAGATTTGTTTTTACCACAACTCGAGCAAAGTCGTGGACAGTTTATCCTGATGCTCTCCCGGCGACCTTTGCAAGATTCAGATCAAATCCCGGTGACCTTTGCAAGATTCAGATCAAATCCCGGCGACCTTTGCAAGATTCAGATCAAATCCCGGTGACCTTTGCAAGATTCAGATCCAATGCCGGCGACGTTTGCAAGATACAGCGGAATGATGGGGTAAATTTTAATAAAGCTCCCGCTAAAACGCAGTTATGCTCTGAAAATTTTTAAAAGTTGATGTTCGGGTGAATTCCTAACTCCAATCTTTATTTATTGCGAAGTTTGAAGCAATTGTTTAATAGTCTGTTTGGATATACTTAACAGGCCATTTAAGTCGTATTTTCTTTTAGTATGTTTCAGAGTAAGCATGTGATCCATTATCGGCTAGACTTTTTCAGTATCGAAATCTTTTCCTCATGGAAATCTTTCGCGTCTGGCTCCACTGACGTTTGTAACTGCAAAAGCAAGTGTTCATTCCATACATTGTACAGAAAAATAATCGAATAATTTCGAGCTTACAAGAGTTGTCGACTTTCAATGATTGTGTAAAACTTTGGTAAACAACTTTTTGGATAATTTGTGTGAAGTTTATATACATTAACAGTTCTGTTATTCTTGCTGAGTTATTTTATGCTAAAGTGCTTAAAGCAAATTTTTTTTACCAAGCAGAAGTCATTTCGCGGAACCGGACATGATATTCATTTGTTTAAGTTTGGTTGTTGAGTAATTGTCCACAGATGATCGAGGTTGATTTTTAAAACAATGGAAATTCAAGTCATTAAGGTATCAAATGAACAAAGATGATACGCTGATAATCAGTGTGAGATAGTAACAACGGCTTTAACATTTATAAACAGTTTATGTAAATAGTAAGAGAAATAATTTGCTAGTTTTATATGCTAAGTGAAGATTTTAAGATTTAAATTATATTGTTCCAGTTTTTTAAAGGGAAGCGCCACTTTCTGTAGATATCTTTAGGATACTAAACCGGTTGATCTTAAAAATTTCGATGAGGTACTTGCATTCGGTGCTTTCAGCTGGTTTACGAAACGCAAATAGGATACGAAGGTATGACATAATTTCCGACAAGAAACAATCACAAAACAAAACGCTAAAATAAAGATGTAATGTAACCAAGTCAGCTGCAAACCTGAATAAAATAAAAGAGTTATTTTATAATTGTACCATTACTGAGCAACTTATCAATCACGTCACCTTTGTGACAGAGCCACGTGATTAGCGCCTCAGCACGAGCGTTTCTTCGCCCACTGGAAAGCACGAAGCCTTGGGCTACGCTAGCCTTCGAGAGGTCTGTAGGGGATCTAGCACTGATAATTAGCGCCAGACCTTGGAAAACCTCTCCTTGACTCGCTTTAAATCTTCCCTGCGACGGAGAAATGCATGTCTTGCAGCGCTCAAAATGAGAGCCTGCTCGAAAGCTGTATATTTAAGGAATGGCGAATTTAAAAAACCAAGACTGCGAGATTTCTGCTCGAAAATATGAGACCCAGGCTGAAAAATTTTTAGCCACTTCATTCCTAGTGGTTAGTTTTATCCAGACTAAAACAAATTAATTTGTGAGAGGAATTTGCGTTGATCTCTTTTGCGTTCGTTTTTGCGTTTCTTTACCACCTTCAAATTTGTTGTCGCTTGCCTGATAAACATTGCATTTTACCAATTTTAAGTCAATTGAACGCGAGTCAATTGACAAATGAATAGCAGAATATTTTTCCACTTAGCCTGAACAGTAGTGTTGTTCCTTATCTCACCCATGATAGAGCCCAGGCCGCTAAGTGACCTTTCCTGAGCGTCCTTACCATCTATTTGTACAGAATGTCGTTGTCTTAGTTTTCCGCTATTATTAAGCATTGCTCTCCACTCCAAATCATTCCCTCTGTTATTGTTAGTTGCTTTATCGATAACCCTGGTAGTCAGTTAACACCCCTATCTTCAAGTGAAAACATTTCGTTTCGGAAAATATTATTTCAAGTCAATATTAAGGGAGCAACGGAAAAAGTGAAAAAAATTTAAAATGTGGTAGGGATCCCTCTGTCCATACTTCTGAATCAGGTCTGGACATAGAGAGGATAAAAGTTTAATATCCATACAGTGAGTTTCACTCTGCCAAGTTTATGTCAGTACTGTGACAATATAGGCTAAAACTGTGTGACTTGAAGCGTATCCAGTACGTATAGGAGGATTTGTATAGAACTGGAAAAAATAATTTTCTACCTCTTCGAATGATATTTCATTCCACTAACTTATGGGTGGCAACACAACAAGTGTCCCCCCGCAACATAAACTGGTATCGTTTCAGAATGATATCAAAGAGATTTTTACCCACGATTTAATGAGTTAATATTCAATGCACCGCTCGGGGGGTCGTCTGAATTTCCTTCAAGCATTTTACCAAGATTTTCACGAATCATTTTTCTGAGACAGTTGTTTCCCTTATGTAGAGCAGATTAGGGTCGTCTTTTTTATAGTTTTAATGGTGACACGTAAAGTTTGGATCACTCTTTTCGTCGAGCATTGTGTATTGTTTTCCTTACGTATTTAAAGAGAAAAGAATTTTTCCTTCTCTGCTAACAATCAGTGAGAATAGAATGGGTTTAATGGACTGGAAAGTTTGCTTTGTTCTCGTCTCAGATGCTTTGGAGACGAAGGAATTAGGTAATCACAGACTCGACTTCAGCGTGCGAGTTTTCCAAGGCGAAAATAAATAAATGGACGATATCTCCAGTGTCTGAAATACAAAATACACGATCAGTAATTATGAAAATCTAAAGGGTCTTGTTTGTTTTTGAAAAACTAAACGAAACTCGAGTTTGTTTTTGGAGGAAATTTGGAATGTGGTTTACGACCAAAACAAACCTGTTGTTATGACAACCTGACGCAATTGTTCTAATCACATGGGGAATGAACTGAGATCCGCCATAATTTTGCATAATTAACTTTATGAACTTCGATTACATTCGTTATCGAGTTAGTTTTTGCCTCTTCGACTTTGCAGAATTTTGACGATAAAGTCGCACAAAAGATAATACAAGTGTTGTAAAATGAACTCACTTAGATGATGAGAAGCCCAGTACGTTCTTGAACAGCGCTTTGTAACGAGTCTATTTACGGAAAAAATTGACATTGGAGAAAACCTTCAGCTCGTCTGCGTGACTCGCAAGGAATCTTTCATGCCTACTACTTAGAAAGTCCACGAAAAGAGTTATTACTAACACAATTTTTATGGCCTTTAAGACTTTGTTTTTGCACTCATTTATCTCTATTTTGGCGGCCATCATACTCTGCTGGACAGAGGTTACTTCTGCCAGTGGTTAGTGGTGACAAATACATATCGTACACTTTTATATTTGCATTGTTAGAACTGTTCCTATATTTTATGCTACAGTTGTATTAGTCGCATACTTAGCCTAGGGTTTTTAAGGCAAGATATTAACTCATTTTTGTGGTTTCAGATCCCTGTGATTGCTCAGTTTGCGGTACAACATGCGGCGGGAGTTTGAGCTGCGATCCCGGCAAATTTCTTGTGGTAAATGGAAGCGAATTCGGCTGTTTTCAATGTCCTCCTGGTCATTAGTAAGTTTTGTTTAGTCTGATTTTCTTTCGTTAGACTTTAGAGACGGGTTTACATGCTGATGGCGGTTTCACTACTCAAAGAAACAGTATAACGATATACGACTGTGTCGTGTTTTGTGTTGCTAATATCAGTGTTGTAATCTCTACCGTAAAACAGTAGTCCAGTCTCAGACTCATGTATAATGCACTTCACAGTACGTTTTGTCATGCAACATTTTGTGTCTAGCTTGAGTTGTTAGAGATAAATGCTGTCTTTTGGAAACTTATTCCATCAGACATATTCTCGTTTTCAAGGGGCACTGATTAGAGTCCAGTTCAGTCTGTAATCATTCATCTGCTGAACAAAATAGGATGACTGCAAAGTGGGAATCTCATTTGATAACAAAGAGTTTGATTCAAGACAGAATTTGAGGACACAAAGTCCTTGTAACAATCAATAATTCAATAATACCTGTAGTTGACTTTTTGGTGAAGAAGTTAAACCTAATTGTCAAACTAACAGTGTGTCCTGTCCAGTTACATAGACGTAATGCATGAGTTGTCCCTCATCACTGTACATTTACAAAGTTAAGCAGATATCTTGAGCTCTTTACGGTTTTTAAGGGGCCAGATAATCATAGAATTGGGAAAATGGGTAAAATTTCCGCACAGCCCCATACTTCATTATGCATTCAGTTCTTGAATAGAGAAAACAATGACTAAAACAATACATCGCTATTGGGAAAACAGATTTGTTTTACAATAGTATGGGGCTGTGCGGAAATTTTACCGGAAAATGAGATTATCCATGTAGCAAACAGTATGAGATGCTTCAAATAATTAGTGTAATAATTTACTTTAACTTCTAGTTGCCCAGGAGGTCAGAACAGTTCTAAACCATGTTCTGAAGGTTACTACAATGACCTACCAGGACAATCAGACATAGCTGCATGCAAGGTAACTTTGTGGATTGATATAGTTTTAGGTTGTGTTTCAAGTGTGCCAAGTCAGTGCCAATTAATATTCAATCTGGGTTGTACTCGGGTATACTGTAAGCTATATTGAATAAAGGGGTAAGTTTCTAAAGAAACTTGGGTGCTGTGTTGGTGGGAGAGTATAGCAGGTAATTTAGAGTAAAAAAGCTGATGTTTCAAGCGTTAGCCCTTCGTCAGAGTGATTGGTAATTGTAATCGCTCGTAATCGTAATTGCTCTGACGAAGGGCTGACGCTTGAAACGTCAGCTTTTTTACTCTTTACGGTGGCTAATTTACATTTTCAACCCAGTTGTTAACACTAAATTACCTGCTGTAAGCTATATTGGTTAGGTGCTCTTCCTGTGCATTCCAATAGAGAAATGTTATCTAATGACAAATTTGAAAAGTTAACCCCTTTACTCCCATGAGTGGCTAAGAAAGAATTCTCATTACGATATCAATACTACATTAAGCAAACAATTGATAAGAATTAAGAAAAGTATCAGTTAGGGGATTATTGGTTGATCTAATATCAAATTCTTCATAGTAACATCAGAAGAATTGTATAGCAGACAGTAGGGAGAATTAAGAGATCTTTGGAGTGAAAGAGTCAATAGTCCCTCTATTTTTCAGCAACAAGTGGACTATTCAGCAACTGAGATGATATTTTGTATAATTTATTTAATTAGGAATGTCCTGCTGGATCTTTCTGTGCTGATGGTAGCCAACTACCAAAGCCTTGTGAATCAGGTTACTATAGCAATGGTACAGGACAAACAAAATGTGTCATCTGCCCAGAAGGATTCCAATGTGAGAACCTTGCATCTAAACCAACACCTTGTGCAGAGGGTTACTATAGTGCGGTGGGTAATGCAACATGTTCGATATGTCCAGAAGGTTATGAATGTTCCAATGGTACATCACCCAGGGTGTGTCCTGAGGGACAGTATGCACCTCTTGGTTCCACAGCATGCAAGACATGTCCTGCAGGTCATAAATGTCCTCATCAAGGAATGTCAGCTCCTGAGACTTGTCCAAATGGGCAATACACAAACCAAACACTACAAGTGACATGTCATACATGTGAAGCTGGTCGTGAGTGTCCAAATGGTGATCGATCTGTACCATGTCCGGCTGGTTACTTTAGTAAGTATGGACAGTCAAATTGCTTGGCGTGTGAGTCAGGAAACTACAGTCAAAGTGGATCATCTGTATGTCTGCCATGTCCAGCTGGAAAACAGTGTCTGGATCCAGCTGTTGAACCTGTGAACTGTACTATTGGTACTTTTTCTGGTCAGGGAGAAGGTGTTTGTAAGCAGTGTCCACAAGGTTGGTGTTGCTTGTTAACATACTGAGCTACACAGATAAAAAAAAAATCCACTTGATTATACATTATGGTGGAAAGTGTAATAAGGAATTGGTAACAGAAGTGCCAGAAAAGTTCAGCCAATCCTTTGAACTTTCAAGTTTCATAATTCTCAGCCAAAATGTTCTCTTAAAGTCTCCCTTTTTTAGTGGGAAAAAAAACAATAGAAACAGCAACAAAAAACACTCAACCTTTAACTTCAACAGTAAATTCAACCGCTCTATTTTTGCTTGTGTCAACTTTTGATAGATAATACAAACTTTTAAATGCATTAATGGAGATGCAAGAGCTGAGAAACCCTAAGCAATGATAATATAAGTTTTAACAGTTATGTTGATATTATTATTCTTAATATTATGATTATTTTTATGAATAATAACTTCAGGTTACCAAAGCACACCAAGCAGGACCTCTTGTGTTCCCTGTGCAGCAGGGTTCTATTGCCCTGATCCAAGGTTGGTTATCCTGTGCCTGTTTGTAGATTTCTGAATTGTCAAGTTGTATAATAATTGTAAAGGGAATTCTTCTTTAAATCCATGCAAAAAGCTGTTTTTATTTCATTTATGATTTAGGAGTTATCATTTGAAATATTTGGCCCATGTGCTAGAATTTCAGGCTCTGAGCCAGTGAGTGGGATTAGTTAATAGACACACACATTAGTTTTCAAAGAAAGAGAGTGACTCTATTCAATCTGCGAAGGAGCCAGTTGATGGTCTGGTAAATAAGCATGTAACTAAATCAGTGAGTTAGTTGTTCAGACCTTAAAGCCAGTACTTGGTAATAAAATATAGAATATTCATTTGTCATCTATAACTTACAGTGACCTTAATTTTTGTCACTATTATGCAATGTGTTAGTTAAGTCAACCATTGAGATAAAAAACCACTTTAAATGCTTTTATATCTTAAATGTTGACAATATTAGTCTCAAATGAAAATCTGAAAAGACAATTTATTCTTAATAATTAGTAACCCACCAGTTCCATGCCCAGTTGGAATGTATTCCTCGGGAGGAAGATTTGAAAACTGCACAGCGTGCCCAGCTGGGAGTGCATGCCCTGATCCTGCTGGTATTCCTGTGGCTTGTACTGGTGGTAAGATGCAAAGTCAACATCAAGCACAATGATCATATTACACTTAATATGTGCAGCTAGCTGTTTTGTATGGTGTATATTTGATTGTTTTTGATGATGTATAAAAAGTTAATAAGAAGAAAGTTAAGGGAAAGTTGACAAGAAGTCTTCTCTGAATACACAAATATTATCTGTACATTTCCTATGGTACTGACAAGGAGAAATTGTTTAACAATCAAGTGCTTCTTCAGTGGTTGGTCATATACTGTATTCTTATAACCAAAATGTTTGATTCAGTGTTGAGGGTGTATAGAGAAATTAGATGCTGGTCTTTCCAAGAGTTTAAAGGTTTAATTGTAACTATTATCAATCATAAGATGTTGATATTAGAAATAATTGCATGATATTGTGCTATTGACTTCTTAATTGGGTACAGGTTTATATAAAAAGGTAAAATCATAATAATTTCCAATCATCATTTCAGCGACATATGCTGAGGCACTGTCCACAGCATGCAAGACATGTCCAGCAGGTTACAGCTGCCCAGAGAACAAGAGAACAGAATTATGTCCATTTGATGACGTACTGGGTTACTTCTACAGCACTGACTCAAGTAGGCTGTCAATTTTTTTGCCTCTGTGTTTGTAAATAACTGTAAAAAAAAAAGAGTATTTTCCATTTACAGGTAGGAGATCTTCAGTTTTGAAAAAGTCTATGATTATCAGCTTTTTGTCATAATATGGAATTATCCTGACCTTTTGAAGTATTTCAAAACAAAGTGACCATTGGTTATTAAAAACTACTACTTCAATTTTGAAAATGAAAAGGCTTGATTGATGTTCTCTACTGGTCATTCTAAATAAGTGTAAGTTATGCTTAATTGTGTTCTTTTTCTAGTGGTATCATGTGCACAGTGTCCTAATGCAAGCACAGGGCAAATATGTGAGTCAAGATACAAGTTACCAGTCAGTTGTAATCCAGGAGAAATCCCCAGCAACAATGGAACAGTATGTATCAGATGTCGTCCAGGTTACTTTTGCCGAACACCACAAGAGGGAGAAGTAGCTTGTGCTCTAGGACAGTGGTCACTGGGTGGGGCTACAGAGTGTCAGGATTGTGTACAAGGCTATGAATGCCCCAACAGTGGCTCATTGCCACAGGCTTGTCCCCTTGGCCACTACACAGATCAGAAAAACTCTCTGAGTTGTAAGCAGTGTAAAGCTGGATTTAAATGTCCCACAACCAGTGGTACTCCTGTGGCATGTGCAGCAGGTATGAATATTGAGAACTGCCACGAGTTTTGTGGTTGTAGCATGTAGATATTACTATCATGATAGGACATAACAGTACATACACTGAACTAATGTCCTTAAAACTTTACTCACTAGGTATCTGTTTGTAAGATAATTTCATAACAAAACTGACCCCTCTCATTGCAAGTTCCTAACCCTAAAAAAATTGTTAATGTTGTAGCACAAAAGTTCCTTTTATTGACAAGTTTCACCTGATTTATCTTCAGGTACATTTAGTGATGTAGCAGCAACAGACTGTACAGCTTGTCCTCCTGGTTCTGCATGCCCAAACACATCAGACTCCACAGCCAAATATGCATGTACATCAGGGACATATTCTATTGGTAGCAGCACTCTCTGTAAATCATGCAGAGTAGGATTCTTTTGTCCTCAAACAGAGTAAGCTACTACTTAATCCCCATGTGTTATTTTCCATGTACTATAGTGTGATTTGTTGTATGGTTTATGACTAAAATGATGGCAGTTTTTTAATGATGCATAGGGTGAGGGTTAGGGTTTAGGGTATCTAAATAATTCTCTAGTAAGTTGATATGTGAGCTCGAAAATCTCTAGTGATCAGCAACTAACCATGCACACGATTTCCTGCTGCCAAAAACTCTCACTGGAGGTCAAATTAAATCCTTTTTTTCAATGAAGTTTTGTTATTCTTTAGTTTTTAATTGCTCAGTTGAGGTACCCTATCTTGTACTTCCCTTCAATCATGATTTCTCTGTTAACTGTTTCACAGTTTTTTGTCAATTTTGAATCTGATACATTGATTCATTCTAACAGTGGTCCCAATTTCATTTTCTTAAATTCTAGCAAAGACATAGAACTCGCATGTGAACCTGGTTTTTACTCACAAGCAGGAAGTGCTCGTTGTACAGCATGTCCACCTGGTTATAAATGTCCCAATAAAGACGGCAGCGGAAATCAACCCTGCCTGGATGGAGAATATTCCATAGGAGGGCAGACATCTTGCACAGCATGCCCAAAAGGTTATGCTTGTCCAAATACAACCACAGATTACATGATCAAATGTGAACCTGGGTTTTATGCGACCAGAAAGAAGACTGTATGCACACCTTGTAAGGCAGGATTGTAAGTATTTCTGCAAACAGCACATTTTGGTTTTTTGAAAAATAACAGGGAATGGTGACCAAAAACTGTAAACATTACTTTGTTAATAAATGGTGCACTGTGTTGACACTCATTAGTGAGTTAAAAGAGTATTAGACTTCATTTGATAACTAGTTGTGGATATTTTCCAGCTATTGTCCATATACAGATAAAAAACAAGAGATTCCATGTGATCCTGGTTATTATTCAACTGGGAATGCATCTTCATGTGAAATGTGCCCTCCTGGCTATGCATGCCCGATACAAGATCAAGATGTGAGGTATTATTTAAAATTATATTCTTGAACTTCTTTGTTTATTTTGTGTGTGGCTTCATTATTCTCTCTGTCTTGTTGGTCTTGTGTCTGTTTTTTCCAGAGAATCCTGTCCATTAATCATGTTGTTATTGACAATGTTTGCCTTGACAGAACAATTAGGAAATCAGTAGTCTCATGCTTCTGACACTTTGTTTACAACAGGAACCTATGTCCAAATGGAACATATTCTTTAGGGGCTCAGATCACATGTACACCCTGTCTCCCAGGAAGTAAGTGCCCGTCAATCTCAGAAGGTCCCACTATTTGCCCACCTGGTTACTTCAGTGAAAGAAATGCAGCAGAGTGCAAGTTGTGTGAGGCTGGCAAACAATGTGCTGATCCAAGTGGTAAGTGCATTTTAAAAAAATCCCAAGATGAAAATATCAAGCAGCAGGTTGAATTAGAAGATTTTATACACTTCCTGTATCTTTTAGCTCCTGAGCCTTGTCCTCCTGGGTATTACTCAAGTGTTGGCTGGATAATTTGCCTTCCATGCAAAAGAGGTTTCCAGTGCAAAGAAGGTTCAACTACAGACAGTCCACCTGAAGGTCAGTTAAACACTTGCTTCATGTTTCTTCATTTGTGTGGCAAGTTTATAGGGACTTAAAGAAAGTACAACTTGAATTTAAAACCAAAGGTTCTATGCTTAGAAAACTCAGAAAATGAAAATGATGACAGGATCAATAGTAAGGTATGTGATTTACAAATGCACCTATGATTGGAAGGTCCAGATCAAGTGGATGTAATTAAAACTGTAGATCAGTTATGACAAGTTAGTCCTTTGCTGTCGCAAATACGTTTAATTGAATTCTCAGTGTGTTCCTTTACCTATTTTTCTCTCAATGTTCTTGCCATTCAAATTTTTTTAACTGCATGTACCTGTTGATAGGATTTATCTAATGGAACATGTTTTAATTTGAGAGTAATTGCATTTTAATGGACATTGTAGGTTTTTACTATTTTCCTTTTCTTACTGAGCTCCTTTTTTCTCTCTAGATGTGTGTCCTAAGGGTGGATGGTGTGATGGCCGCACTCTATATCCATGTCCACCAGGGACCTATAATCCTTTCAATGGGTCACAATCACAGGAGGCATGCAAGGCGTGTCCTATGGGTCACTACTGTCAGGAGAGTGGTACAGTTGATTACCAACCATTTCTTTGTCCAGATGGCCATTACTGTCCAACAGGAACAAAATTCCCCAATCAGTTTCCTTGCCCAGCTGGTACATACAACCCAATTGCCAACCAGACATCAAGATCAGTAGCTTGTTTGCCTTGTCCTGCTGGCAATTATTGTGTGGCAGGATCCAGTCAGCCCGCCATCTGTCCTCCTGGTTACTATTGTCCAATTGGAACTGGGGCAAGAACACAATTTGCCTGTCATGCTGGATTTTACAATGATCAAACTGGCCTGAAGAATTACACAGAGTGTAAGCCTTGCCCTCCTGGTTCATACTGTCCAGATGGCTCACTAACTGAACCCACGGTTACCCCAATTCCTTGTCCAGCAGGGACGTACAATCCTGAATGGCAGGTTGGGCACTTACTGAACTGTATTCCATGCACTGCTGGTTTCTTCTGTCCTCAGGCAGGACAGACAAATGCCACCTTATACTGCTATGAAGGTTATTATTGTCCAAATGGTACAGTGGCAGGTAATCAGTTTCCTTGTCTCCCTGGAACGTATGGAGACAAAGCAGGTCTGACTCTGGCAGAGGAGTGCCTGACATGTCCACAAGGAAGGTCATGTGGCTGGGGAACTGGTCTAAACAACAATAACACAATGCAAGTTTGTCGTCAGGGACATTTTTGTCCAGCAGGTGGGTGTGAAATTTGTGTGGTGGAAGGGGTGGGTTAGGGAAGAATGTTATAATTTTGCTTGAAAAACTATTCCAAAGGTTCAGTTCAGTTTAGGAAAATGTGATCAATGAGAACATTTTCTATGGTTTTCGACATCCACACCAAGTGTTGATGCTAGAATCTGGCTGAAATACCTTCACAAAAAAAATTGGACACAATTTATGAACAGTTCATAACTTACTCTGATGCACTATTTCTGCCTTAAAACAGGCACAGGATCACCAACTAAGTATCCTTGTCCTCCTGGAACCTATTCAAACAGTTCTGACTTGTTTGATGCATCCCAGTGTGATATTTGTCCTGAAAGAAAGTACTGTCCGGGTGGTGAACCAGCACCCAGAGGTAACTGTCCACCAGGTTATTACTGTCCAGGAGGCACGCGAGTAGCAGAACAGTTTCCATGTCCTAATGGAACATACAATCCTCACTATGCCAAAGCAAGAGTTGATGAGTGTCTTAACTGTACACAAGGCCATTTCTGTGAGTTGGCTACAGTTCAGCCAGTGCCATGTTCTATTGGTAAGTGAGGGTAACTCATAGTGGCAACAACTGTGTACTGTGGAGCTGTCATATATACTGGTTACTTTACTTAGAACTAGTATGTGTGAGAATCTGGAATAGTAGCTACCTAGCATGGCAACACTTTTGGGTTGAGTTTTTGTTGGGTCCTATCCTTGACTGAAGGGTTTATTCAACCTTTTTTGTTTTTCCCCTCCAAAAATATTAAGATACAAATTTTCATTTGACCTTGCACATTTAAAGATATCTACACTGTATATAGAATTATAGAATTTCTCTTGTTTAGTGTGAGTCATGAAAAACCTAAATGGATCTAAAAGTGATCTTGTAAACTATATGTAGTTGCAGTCATTATTAGGCTTTTTTATTCTGCTCTACAGAGTATTCGTATCCTAAAAGTGTTGTGGACATTTCTTTTAAAGGTACATATATGCCATATGGATTCAATGCAACAAGTTCAAAGGTGGTAGGAACACCAGCTAAGGGGAAAGGAGACTGCCTTGCCTGTCTTGCTGGACATTTTTGTCTGAATGGTACTGTAGTACCAGAACCTTGTGGAAAAGGGAAATATACAAATCCAGGACAATCAGTTTGTCAGACATGTTTGGCTGGGCGCTACTGTGATAATGAAACTACAACTGAAACAAGCATGAACACAACCAAGCTTTGTCCAGCTGGAAAGTATTGTAGAGCAGGGCTGACAGATGTCGCTGATGCCACTGATTGCCAGAGAGCACATTACTGTCCTGAAGGTTACTGATGATTGTTATTTCTTTCCATATTTTACTTGGATTAATGGCAATTTCTTCTTCATAATGGCTTCAGGAAATTGTAGTTTGTATAAATTTTGTTTTTTCACTTTAAATTTACAGGTAACCCTGTTGAAATTCCTTGCCCTGTTGGTACATTTAACCGAGATACCAAAGGAGGAGATATATCTGCATGTAGAATGTGTACTGCAGGGAAGTATTGCCTTGAAAAATCCATCCATGAGACAGGTGACTGTAGTCCTGGCTTCTATTGTCCAACCAACATCACAGATGGAGTCTCAAGTTTGCGTATTGGCTCATATGGCCCCATACAGGAACCTTGTCCAAAGGGTACTTTCCTTAATGAGTCAGGAGGAAGGTTTGTGGAGGATTGTATTGAGTGTACTATTGGTCATTACTGTCCAACAGGATCTCAGACACCCACTATCTGTAAAACTGGTCATTACTGTCCTCCAGGGTCAGGTGACCCTCAGCCTTGTCCTCTGGGAACATTTAATAATCACAGTGGAGCTTATTATTTGGAGAACTGCACAGACTGTACCCCTGGCTGGTAAGTTGCACATTATTATAAGTATATGTATTACATAATTATGTGTCAGATTGACTGACTCAACCTTGACCTTTATTTCAAACTCAACAAAACCATACACACACATCTTGCATACGAAGAATAACATTCTTGTCAGGGTTTGTAGATTTGAGTGGTTCAGTTAGAAAGGATCAGTAATGACAGACACCTGTCAAAGGTCACATGACCCACACTCAGACCTCAGCTGTGTCTGAGATAAACAATCTCCACTTGTTTGGTTTTACTTAGTGGGAAAAATATTACTTTTTGAATTCTTGGTATAAAGTTCTTCCTGGTAATTTTCTCTGTTATATGTCAGCTAAACCTGCATTTTGAACCATTCAGATAAGAAATGAGGAGTGCAGGAATGGGTACATGTTCTTCCAAATTGAAGGTGAAATTTTTAATAAGTGTGTGTCAGGCTTATTAATGTATATGTATGTTTTATTAAAAAAGGTACTGTGATGCTCAAGGTCTCTCCATTCCAAGAGCGCAGTGTGACCCAGGTTATGTGTGCTATGGTGGAGCGTATACTGGAACTCCCAATGATGGAAAAACAGGAAGACCTTGTCCTCAAGGGACATTCTGTGTCGCAGGGTCTTTTGAATTTGATTCTTGTCGTGTTGGAACATACAGTAAGAGCACTGGTGGAACAAGCGACCAAGACTGTCAGTTGTGTGATCCTGGATACTTCTGTTCTAAGAAGCAACTCACAGCTCCAGAAGGACCATGTGACCCTGGTTATTATTGTCCAGAGGGGTCCATCTTAAGCAATCAAACAATTACTCCACCAGGATTTTTCACTCCAGCAGGATCATCAGAGCCACAGCCATGTTTACCAGGAACATTTCAACCACATGAAAAACAAAGTCATTGTCTTCCCTGTGAGCCAGGATTTTACTGCCCCACAAAGAGCATGGTCAATGGTACTGAGTGTGAACGAGGCTTCTACTGCCCACCTG